ATCTTTACTTGCAACATCCCGAAGTTTGGAAGTTGTTGCAACTTCTGAACGTTTAAAGAATGTCAAGGTCACTGTCAAGATCACATTGAGGTTGGAATTTTGGATTAAGGACGGTGTTTTTCTGTAATATCAGGTGAAAACAATAAACAAAGAATGATGATTATTCCTGGGATATTGTGAGGTAACTATGCACACTTCAACTACAAACCAGGAACGGAAACTTCTGCCTGCTGCGGGTGTGGTATATCGACTAAAGTTTCTACTAGTACCAGTCCTTGATCCTTTTACTATTGGTCAGTTTGGCAAGGACTATAGGACTGGCGCCGGTTTCTGGAGCACCAAGTCTAACCCCAGCTAGGCCAAGGGCAGAGCTCCAGATAAGTGTTTGGTGTTGTGGGTATTTTACCCATGCATTTTAAAATCATTGGGTATCAGTAATTCTATCTGGGTATTCAAATTTCTGTTACCCACTAGTTTTTACACATGTGGGTATTTAAGTTAAATATTTAAAAACACTATTCATCTAGTCCCTGCAAACTGGTGTCGTGTGGGTTCGAGAGCTTTATAGGACTCAAAAATACTGCGATACTTCCACAAGAAAGTGTGATGTCAAATGATCATGATGTAACTGTCATTGTGGAGTTTGGCAAGGTTGACGGAATGCCCGTTTATAATTTTAAAATAAGTTGCTGATTCACTTATCGAATACGCAGGGTTACTTCAAAATATTTTGATGATATGCACAAGTTTTATTTTTGTAGCGTATCTGTAATGTTCGTTGCGTATTTGATACGCTTGAATTTTATTTCACAGCGTATTTCTGCATTTCTGATGCGTATTTTATGCAGATACGCATCTTATCTGGAGCTCTGCCAAGGGTAATACTGTCTTGTTGTCGTCTCTTGGCCAAGAGTAACCTTTCCAGTGTCATCTGACAGGGATAAGTCATAAATTTATTTTAATTTTATTTCCATTAATAATGGAAAGTGACAGTTGCACAGTTCATTCAGGATGGCTGACAGTCAATACACGATACAATGGGGATTAGCATCTCACAAGTAACGGCAATTAAGTGATATTAGACGTATAATGATATTCATGCCATGGCTACATGGTAGTTAGCTTTAGGAATTAAATATTCATTCAGACAAAGGTCGTCCCATATAATCTGCTATGACACTATAATGATCTATTAACATAGGCAGGATGACCAGTCGACTATCACTGATTTTGTACATGAATTTCAAGCAGCAAGACAGTTGCACTTCCCTGGGTGCAACTCTCGCTTTTTGTATCAGGGATTCTTAATAAGAATAGATACTGTATTCGACGTAATAAGCGCCCCGTTCTAAAAAGCCCCCACTGCGGTATTTGCTAATATATTGGCTAGTGAACAATCCCAATCAGCACCCCTTCCGATTGATCAATGTTCACAAGACTTATTTATTCTCATACATTATGCACTAAACAATTATAGACTACTCAAGTTTTGATAGGTATCTTCCGTTTTAGAGGACAGAAAGGGGCCTTGGCTGTTTGGCAATCCTATGAAGAAGAACTGATGCATTTGGCTTGAAGTTAAGAGTGGGTTGTAAATGATGTTGCTTGTGTTGCAGCTGTGTTATCATCTTCCCGAGGCAAGACTGACTTTAAAAGTCCAGTTTCCACCCTTGCCGAACTAGGCTGGAATTCCTGGGCTCGATCGTAGCGCCACCAGTGGCTATTACGAGTTATGTACTTTCTATGCCTCTCCGATTGACCAATCAGATTCAACCTCTTGTATCGCTTGCATTTGCTTCAAACAAAACGGTGGCGCTCAGTCAAGACGATCTGATCGATAATACAGATCTATATTGTGATAAAACGAGTCTTACATCGCGAAATGCATCAAATCACGTGAGCACCTTGATTAAAAACATGAAAAGATTTAGAAAATATCTGTTGACAACGAGTTAGCGAGCACATGCTTTGCAAATCCTGCAGTCAACCGAAATCTCATGACACTTACGAACCGGATTTCAATTTCTGGGCGCGATTTTGATTGGACTATGCATAGACTCGTTAGTCCAGCCAAAATGTAACTCCATAATACCAGCCTAGTTCGGCAAGGGTGGAAACTGGACTTTTACAGTCAGTTAACTCTTGCCTTGGGAAGATGCTGTGTTATATCAGGAGAGAAACCATGAATGGGTTTCACTCGTAGTCATAGGTATTGGCCTGACTTTCATGTTGCAATTTATTGCACTTATGTACCACAAAATATTGCATGCATTCATGAAGTTCATGAATACTTGCACTACATCACATTTTCAGTGGATGATGTCGATATATGTGCATCATTAAATTTATTTCACAAAATAATCACAGATTTTGCACACAACAATGTTATCTTAAATTTCCTTTCTTAAGAACGAAATTGGCCAATACATTGGACTTTTCCGGCATATATTTGACAACTTCGTAGTTGTCTGCCATTTTGTTGCATGTTGCTATGGTTACAACGCATGCGTAACAGACACATAATATATAGGAAGCTGGTCACAAATAGTTTCACTTTTTCGATCACGGAAATCACTTGCTTATTTCTGAATCTCATATATTTGACTCGACTTGTCACTCATGTAAACTTTGCCAACAAGAAGAAAATATGCATGATTTTGATAAACGCAATATACCGTATACGGAATAATAAGTGCCCCGCTCTAATAAACGCCCACGGCAATATTTGCTAATAAATTGGCTAGTGAACAATCCCAATTAGCACTCCTTCCGATTGATCAATGTACACAAGACTTATTTATTCATGTATAATACTCACTCGTGTGTTATATGCACCCTTAATTATGGGCAATTAAATTCTGGAAAAATATATCTGTCATATATAAACAATTCAGGCCGTCAGCATAAACCACGAAAGGTATCTTTCAACTCTGTTTTTTTTCCACCAAAATAATATTCCAATAAGGGCTCCCTATTTCTAATTTTGAGAGCGACCTGGGTGTTTATTACATCGGATACGGTACCCATATTTTCCAAATGTATTATGATACATACTCATTAGTATTTCAAATCTTTGTATACAGGTAATATCTCACACTCTATTCAACCGTCTTTGAATTGACAATGGAATGCTTTAACCACCTGTCTACCCTACCAGCTGTTCATATCAAAATGAGACAGGCAGATGTGACACATTCCTGCATATAATAGTTGCTCAATACAAATTACAATACAGGGGCAATAAGATTTTTTTTCTTTGTAACAATGTATCATGCCATGTTTTATCACGTCATGAGCCAAGTTGATGCCTGGTTAAAATACACCACTGAAACAAGTGGCCTGTTCAAGATTTGACTTTTGTGTGCTGTCTCAAACACAATCAAAACATATAGTATCCCTGTCGTAACCCTTATGCTAAAAATTAAGATGTAGGGAGAATCTACATTCATAAACTACTCCAGCTGACTAAACTAAGAGCCCTTTCCAGGCAAATTGGGATAAAAATAATTATTTTGTTCAAAATTGGTATTTTGTTTAAGTTCTTATTTTCCTAAATTCGGAGGTATTTTAACACTGCAATCAATGCAATAATACAAACTAATCCTAAAACCTGTTTGTCTCTATTGGTCCTGTTATCAGTGAAACACAAGTTACCTCGACAAAGCCATAACATTAGATAACCATATCAACATGAACTGGGAATTTATAAGTTCCTATTTGGGAATTTTGACAGACATTTGCTGTAGGCCGAATATCAGCCCCTGAGCAAGCCCCTTATTCCCCCCCTGGCAAATTATTAATTTTTCTAGCAGTGAATTTATAACAGTCTCCCAATTCAATGAAGTATATCGAGGGCTTGCTCCAAAACTAGGTTGCAATTGTGAAGTAATTCTAAATGCTGAAGAAGCATTCATAGTTGGTTGTTGACTCAAACTGGTGAGTGAGATAACCACTGTGTCAGGTTGATGATGAGAGGGATGGAGATGGCGACATACATTCCATCCACAGTGAAGCTACCGTGGGAATGGGTAAAGCAAATATAGCATAATTTATGATTCCAAAAATAGTGTATGCCACTGGACAGTGATCACAATATTCTTCTACAAAAGAAAACAAAAAGAGCGTTGATACCAATGTTTACTGTTTTAGCAATCAGCAATATTTCAGCAATGTTGTATGTCTGTAAATAACCCACTCTGGACCAAGCAATCCAGTGATTGATATTGTAAGCATCAAGCCACACCATCAACAAAGTCACCTTGCCAGGCAACCTGATCTATTAACTCACCTAAGAGATGGTACTTGTTGTTACCCTGTCTGGCGCTCGGCATTAAGGGGCTAAAACAAGGACTGGTCGGCTCGGAGTCAGTATACTGTGTCTGAGTGGGGTATTCATGTTAAACTATGGAATGGTATCTCAGTGTGCTAGCACTATAAATCGACATCAGTCCGGACTAGTACAAGCAGCCACACACATACATACACATGCATGCACGTCGCTATATAAGTGCAATAATCTTGGACGCGACGTTAAACCCCATTTCACCTCACCTCACCATTAACTCACCTCTTACATCCAGCATACATTGCTTGGGGACCAATTCTAACCTGGAATCCCAACAGGGTTCTGTTCCCATGGTTACAGCTTATTATATTATATGGGTTACCATGGTTACAGCCTTGTTACAACGTAGCTTAACATAATGTATTATCAAATTTGTGGGTGCTATTGGTGCTGTATATTGGACGCATCCAGTTTGAAACCTAGCAAAGTCTTGACTGGATGCCTGTTTATTCACCTGAAGTCGTTGAAAGGATACGATAACGTTCATCAATTATTTGCACCCCGAAGGTAGCGTTGTTTGTTTTTTAAAAGTCCGGTAAGCAATATTTTAAATTGGACATTTGAGATTCCCAATCGGACATGCCCGGCGCATAAGACCGTTTCCGGACCCCTGGTCCTGAGTTTATCTTCCAACAGGACTGAAGACAACACTCACCGGCCTTTTCAATTCGACGTTGTCTGCTATGACTTCTCCATTCCTATCCCGTTTCCGGCTCGCCATTTTCCTCCTGCAAACATGACATTAGGTTACAACCCAAACCATTTTATATCTGATACATCTATCACGTCATGATCTACTGCCTCAGTAGGCTGTCTGTAAATGATCACCACAAACACAACTTGATTCACAGTTAGCAAATTGAATGAGGAAAATGTTTTAATTTACTTATAATTTTTTGTTTGTTGTTTAACGCCGCACTCAGCAATATTGCAGCTGTATGAAGGCAGTTTGTAAATAATCGAGTCTGGAAGAGACAATCCAGTGAGTGACATCATGAGCATCGATCCACGCAATTGGGCTACGATGACATGCACCAACCAAATCAGCATGCCTGACCACTCGATCCCCTTAGTCGTCTCTTACGACAAGCATACCGTATTCGACGTAATAAGCGCCTAGGGCGCTCTCAAAATTAGAAATAGGGGGCTCTTATTAGAATGTTATTTTGGTGGAAAAAACAGAGTTGAAAGATAAATTTCGTGGTTTATGCTGACAGCCTGAAATGTTTATGTACGACAGATATATTTTTCCAGAATTAAATGCCCATAATTAAGGGTGCGTAAAACACACGAGTGCATATTATACGCGAATAAATAAGTCTTGTGTACATTGATCAATCGGAAGGGGTGCTGACTGGGATTGTTCAATAGCCAATATCTTAGCAAATGTCGCCGTGGGCGCTTATTAGAGAGGGGCGCTTATTACGTCGAATACAGTAATTGCCTTTTATGGCAAGCATGGATTGATGAAGACCTATTCAACCCACTCCACCTGCATCAGCACAGGTTCACATTAGGGCTGGGACGGGTAACTCGGGTACCTGGGTACCCGTGGTTAATCATGTGATATATGGTTTAATGACAAAAATTATCTAGAACTCTATGGTTACACTACAAGTCACTAATGTTCGCATTTCTTTCTGACTATACACCAATTCCTTCTGACTTTTTAGATGGTTGACTAAAGATCATTTCTTCTGACTTTTCATATAGTTGACTAAAGATATAACTTAAGTCAACTTCAGTGTATGCATGACCAGATCGTTTAATACATGTATCTAAATACACAGCAAGTGCTGTGGTAAAATAAAATTCCCAATCGGACATTTTGTATCTCTTGAGACCTACAGTGGGTACCAGGGTAGGGTCGGGTAATAGGGGGATGAGTACACGGGTACTAAATTTGGACTCGTCCCAGTTGACATGCCATGATATAACTGGAATACTGTTAAAAGAGGCATTAAACCCAACTCACTCACTCACTCTAATGTAACTGAGTGAGTGAGTGAGTGAGTGAGTGAGTTTAGTTTGACGCTGCTTTTAGCAATATTCCAGCAATATCATGGCGGGGGACACCAGAAATGGGCTTCACACATTGTACCCATGTTGGGATTCAAACCCAGGTCTTTGGTGTGACAAGCCAACGCTTTAACCACAAGGCTACCCGACCGCCCCTCTAATGTAACTGCCTCTCATGACATAGACATGACCACAGCACCTGTGAGGGAAGCACCAGTGATGAAGCAATACCGGTACATGCATCACTATTTATAAATACATCTTCCCGAGGCAAGGGAGCTAACTGACTAAAAAATCCAGTTTCCACCCTTGCCGAACTAGGCTGGAATTCCAGAGTTACATTTTGGCTGGACTAACAATTTTATGCATAGTCCAATCAAAATCGCCCAACAGACTAGACATCCAGTTCGTGAATAACATGGATTTCAATGTGCAGATTTCACTGCAGGGTTTGCAAAGCATGTGTACCGTCAACTGGGCATCGACAGATATTTTCCAAATCATTTCATGTTTTTAATCAAGGTGCTCAAATGATTTGATGCACTTTGCGAGGTAAGACACAATATCACCCAACGAACTAGAAATCAAGTTCGTGAATAACATGGATTTCAATGTGCAGATTTTACTTCTGCAGGGTTTGCAAAGCATGTGTACCGTCAACTGGGCGTCGACAGATATTTTCCAAATCATTTCATGTTTTTAATCAAGGTGCTCAAATGATTTGATGCACTTTGCGAGGTAAGACACAATATCATAATACAGATCTTGATTATTGATCAGATTGTCTTGACTGGGCACCGTATTTTTTGTTTGAAGCAAATGCAAGTAATATGAGAGGTGGAATCTGATCTGGTCAGTGGGAGGGACACAGAAGGGACATAACTCATAACAGCCACTGGTAGCACTACAATAGAGCCATGAAATTCTAGTGTAGTTCAACAAGGGTGGAAACTGGACTATTGTAGTCAGTTAACACCCTTGCCTCAGGAAGATGTCATAAATACTAAAGCATTCAAATTTTTGGTTTACAGATCTGCCAAATCTAAAAATTAGGAATGTTGAAAACAAATCCACCTTAAAGCTGTCTTTAATAACCCTGAGTTAGATAATCAAGTTTGTAAAAATCACCCTCGCGTCCCTGTCTGAGCTAGCTGATTGTGACAAATGGTACATGCTCAATGACCAGTAAGTTTTTTCTTAAATACCATTCATAGCTTCATGTCCCCATGTAAACACAGTAAAGTTTTAACATTTCTGTCACATTTAGAAAATGCCTGAAGGAAAAAGGAAAATTTGAATTATCTTTTGTCTCTCCAACACCCACAGAATCTATATCCTTACAAAAGTAATATATGAAGAGTCTGATTTTATTTAGTATTTATTTCATGAACTGAAGGTTTGTGAAAAAGAATGTAACCCAAGTGATACAAAATAAAGCCCAAATAAAATATGGAACAGCCTATAGCTCTGTGGAACAAGAAGATAAATCAAATGTGTTTATAGGGAGCAGGATATAGATATGGTTACCACAGCTAGGAACACCAGCACAGCCCAAGCCTGAAGCATGTAAACTATAGGAAACAAAGATGTGTATGAACATGGGAAGAACTCACTTGCTGTTATACATGGCTACGCAGAAAGAAGACAACACAGTCATTAATGCAAGATGAATTCTTATACATCATATACATATTCTTGTAATCAGTAAAGCTTAAGGTGAAATGGAGGTAAACATCGCATTCAAGATTATTGCACTTAGGAAGCGATGTGCATTCAAGTGTGTAGCTGCTTGTACTAGCCTGGACTTATATCATTCAATGAGATACCATGCCGCAGTTTAACATAAGACCCCACTAAGACACGGTATACAGACTCCGAGTAGACCAGTCCTTGCTTTATGTCTTTAAGAACACCAGGCAGGGCAACAACAAGTACCAGGCAGGGCAACAACAAGTACCATCTTTTACAGACTTTTGGTACAGTATATAAATAGGGGGCCAGGGATCGAATCGGTGACCATGGAGAGTGTCCACTTCTGTAGAAGCTTCATGGTGAAGTTTGAATTTGAGGCACAGTCATAAGTCACCTCCCCATTATGAACTAGATACAGCAAGGGTTGAAATGGTTACCTGAGTACTTGAGTATGTGTCAAGTTTGATAACTACTCGAGAAGTCAATTTTTACTTGAGTACTCGAGAGTTATCTCCCTTTCTCGTTATCATTATTTCCATTTCTTAGCAGCCATTGCAGAAAACAGCCGCTCCACTTAAGCAATTTTTCTAACTGTCAGAAGATACTGCTCTTAGATACAACTGTATTTCTTCCTTGTCAAGTGTTGGCGGAAAGACACAATATCAACTCGATCTGTTTTACTACAAAGGTAGATTCTACTGGCTTTCTAAATTTAAGAAATATATCATATCTGTTTTAAAAAGTTCTTATCAAGTATCAACTGTGAAGCAACAAAGTATAAACACAAAATAAAATTAATTTGATCATTGAAAATTCTATGGAAAACTAAAACACTCCATGCATCCTAATAATGGTGAAGGTACATTTGAAATTCCACAAATTGCATTTTCCTTCATCGGATATTTAAAAACAACAACTTTAATCTATTAATTTTTAAAGGCTTCTTTAACCAGCTGGAAGAAGGTTTAAGTCAGGCTCAAACACCGACAAACACATTCTAATTATGACACAAACGGGAGCTGCCAGAAAAGTACAGTTGGTGGAAGAAATATTTGTTAATACAATTCACAGTTAAACAGACATGGTGATTCATTTGAAAGATGACGTATAAAATGTTTCGACTGTTTGATAAAAGAAAAAGTTTCCCTGTCACATATGTTTTCCCAAAGTGTTATTTCTTAAAAACTAAAGTGAAATATTTAACAATTGAGTTAGAGTGAACGACTTTCTGAATATTACTTTACAAAATGGTAATCTTACATGAAATGAGGAATTAATGCACAATTGTGACATAAATAGGCATGTTGACTTGAAATTCCATTTTCTTATTTAAAACTTTTAGGGAGTCTCGTGTGTCCCAGTACCTTAATTCCTATACTTGTTTGCTTTGCAAACTTGGGACTTGCAGATGCAGCCTCGGCAAGTTAATTACTAATAGATACTAAAGTATTGATTTTGGTACCCATTTCAGCCCAGGGTAAACCATCTACAACATACTGATTTGTTTAGTATAGGACCTAAAACCAGTACTTCCTGGTGACAGCATCACTGAAAAAGTTCTTACTTTCTTGTAGAAATCATTGTGGTAACTGTTGATAACTAGACACAACACAGAGACAGTCCAACCATTCGTGCCTTCCCGTTTTCTCATAACAGTAAGTACAGAGCTCACCGATGGTAGAACTACAGATCTAATGAAACTAAAGGATATGATCACTAATATAAACTATGAATTCGGTCAATATTTCGACTTTGTCATTATCTCCAAACAAAACTACTTTATCAAAGGTCAATGCGACGAAATTAGACCAAGTTGGCACCTGTCAAACGTTGTACAAGTACGATAACCTCGCGGAGATAGCAGGTCCAGGGTATAGTCCTTCTGCCGAGGGTGTACTGCCCTCAGCCCTCCAACATGCGTTATAGTGAAATCACCTGATCGCAGCGGTTGGAGAACGGTCAGTGCAACCTTGTCAGATTTCGCCGTTATATTGTGAGATCGCGGTGTTAATTGCTACGAAACGTACCACACTCACCTCGCAGCCCAATGTGTGGATTCTTGTGGTTTCTATTTCCAATAATAAGTTAATATTACATTCGTCAACACCTGCCAATGATTCACTTTCCGCTTTTTACTATGCCATGTGTACTTGCGTACTACGTCATCACTTTTGTTGTGTACATTAATGAATTTATTATTCGCGGACACGTCATGCTCCGGGAGAACTGTTCCCACGGAATATGGCGACTTTTGACGAATCATCAGTGTGGCTGACGGCGGGCTCTTCATCTGACATAATCTTTCGACATTTGTAAAATTGACACGTATTTAGACAACAGTGACGTAATATCGGTTTTTTTTCTGAAGATAACTATTTTCTCCTCATATGTGAACCTGTACCATATCGCTATAAAGTGATAAAAAAATAAAATGACAAGATTGTTTTCTTGAAAGGATTAGTTAATGAAAATACACCATGACGTAATATAGGCTATTACAAATAAAAAAAAATCTAATATGTACAATTTCTCGGTTAATCGGCGTAATAATGCAAACTTCATGACTTACATCATCTGTGTGACAACTCCCACGTCAGTAACAGCTGTTAACTTCATCACAACGACGTACGAGCTTCACCTGTCGTCAAAATTATACCCATTTATATACATATTCAATATTCATGTATGCATGAGGTCCTAAATGTTTCTTCAAATTGTTACACGACTAGCGTGGCAACAGCGGGTCCTACCAAATAAAGTAATCACATCAGTTTTACGTATAGCTTAAGTATATATTAACGTTCGACATTTTAAATGTATATTTCTGCCGAAAATGGTCTAAAACATAGCCTGTCGTCCATTGGTGAATCCATATAATTGATTTGGTTTCGAATTAGTTAGGAACAGTAAGTATGCAACTGATATATGCTACTCAAAATAAGTTGAGGACATGACATATGCCAGATTAACTATACATGGTACTGAAAGAATCGTGATCCTTAACTTCTTTTGACTTGTATAAGTTTATATTGCACTGGGCAACATTTTAATGAATGTATATGAAGATGCTGTAATTACTGTTATCCATTTACGACATCGGTAATACGGTTTGAAAACTTTCTTAAAGTCGACATAGAGGAAGATTTGATACAAATTAATCTGTACCAAAGATAAACAAATATCGCACAGCATAGTGTACGTATGCTATATATATATGTGTGTGTAAGTTTCAATAAACACAGACATTTGCATCAATGTGGGTTTTATCAGTGTATTCAATATTGTTTAAGCTTTGAAAATGTGAATGTATTGCCTTATCAGCCATTATCTTTTGCCAACATTGGGTGGGTTAAAAACACAGCTTTGAAAATAAACTACCGAGGAAAAGATAGTATACAGTGGAGAATTGGATTTGACAAAAAAAATACAAACATTATCTAACCGTTAGAAGCCTGAAAACAGGTGCTGAAACACAAACAAACAAACTATGATACCCGTTTCAAATATATCCCTATCGAGTAAACTTTTCTTGTCTGTTTCATTTTTTGACACCATCAATCAAACATGGATGTATACTTTCTTTTGCTCGGCAGATTCTTTAAAATCTATATCACGACGTAAACAATGGCATATAGAAGGAAACATACATATAACTATACCTTTTGTTCAATTGCTGAATATAGATGCGATATCACTACAAGGTGTGTTGCAAAATTCGACCTTAGTGGAACTTGTGTTCTTTTCATATACTGTGTACATTGCCCAGGTCGGTATTGATATATACACGATCGCACATGCCCTTCGGCCATATATACAATATGGCATTGTGCAAGCGACTGAGATGACCCAGCTTATCGTATGTCATAAAACAATTAAGTACTGACTTAGCTAAACAATAAATAAGCATGTAACACCCTCTGTGTCAACACAATAGAGATGCATGTTAGGCTTCAATGACTGTCTGTATGCATGTAGACAGCACGACTCGACAGTCTAATTACATCAATATGATTATAGCTTCTTCGTCAGTAAAGCGTATGTTCATTTGATGACATTGTTATTTTGAAATGTATTTTATTGTCGATGTGAAAATTATTCGAATTTTGTAAGTTGCATTAACATTGTCGTCATTAAATAGCCCTACAAATCTATACACGTGCATATATAAAAGAAATATTAAATGATTTATACAGATAAGTATACCCTATACAGAATAACAAAATATATCATGGACTGTTAATGATAATAGGTAATGATGTATATCTGGTATATCATGTAAAGCATACAGTTTATATACATACAAATTGTCTAAGTTTATCTAACCTCATGAATTATACACGCCATTCATTGTAGATACATGCATGAGGCTTACACGACATTGAAACCAGACAGCGGTTGAGTTTGTTTTGCCTCTCTATTTTCACAAACCATAGCAGTTTATTATGACACTATATACGTACTGCCCACGAGAGAGAGAGAGAGAGAGAGCGAGAGAGAGAGAGAGAGAGAGAGAGAGAGAGAGAGAGAGAGAGATAGATACCACACGTCATGAAGATTCATGAAGATGTTTGTTTTAGCGTCTAATACTGTTTTTATTTAACACATACATTTTGCTTTTAAAAACATTTTAGTGGCTTAAGGAGGTCACGTTGGCTGTTATTTTACGCAAACACACCCGCTTACAATGCTTATATTTAACATAATACATGATGCCAACAACAATAATCTTCTTCTATATCAATTACTGCAATATGCATCTGGGCACCGATAATCGTGACACAAAATCGTGTCGAAAAACTGTTATTGCTTGGCTGGACACGTTTTGGTCGAAATCAATGCTTAAACTACTTGTAACAACTGAGTCATACTTTTCTTTCGGTAAATATAGCAGACGGTTTACCGTTATATGAAACGTTCTATACGCATCTATTGAGAGATAAACCTGTAGAGTACATGTCAATAACTAGGGACTGCAAAATAAATACAAGTTCTTCCCTTCCCACGATGTATACACAATATGAATGTAGTTCATTCAGCTCAAGGACTTAATGATTACAATGCATTGTTGAAGGGAACATGGTTATGGTAAGTGGGGCGATGGAGTAGCCTAGTGGTTAAAGCGTTCGCTCGTCACGCCTGAGGCCCGGGTTCGATTCCCACATGGGTACAATGTGTGAAGCCCATTTCTGGTGTCCCCGCCGTGATATTGCTGGAATATTGCTACTTATGGTAAGTAAGGTACATCTTCATCGGAGATTCTTAAAATGGGAAATATCCGATTATGATATAGTGTAGTTGGCGTGTCCTTTTGTAATAAAAGTAAGTAGTTATGGCGATAATAAGGAGAGGAGAGAGACTTACTATGTTTTCAATGTAGGGCGAAGTGGTGAATTCGTGTTTATCGTCGCGCCCAGATCATTGCACTTATATCGCGCGCGCGTGCGTGCGTCCGTATGCTATATGTACTATATATAGTCAGGACTAATGTCGATTTTGTAGTGCCAGCCCACTGAGATACCATGCAGCAGTTTAACACGAATACCCAACTCCAGCGCAGTATACTGACTGGGACCCGAAGAGCCCTTGTTTTAGCCCCTTAATGCCGAACAGCGACGGTCGGGTAGCCTAGCGGTTAAAGCGTTCGTCGGTGCTGAAGACCCGGGTTCGATTCCCGACATGGGTACAATGTGTGAAGCCCATTTATGGTGTCCCCCGCCATGATATTGCTGGAATATTGCTAAAAGCGGCGTAAAACCATACATGCTCACTCACTTAATGCCGAGCGCCAGGCAGGGTAACAACAAATGCTATCTTTAAACGTATTTTGGTATGATGCGGCCGGGGATCGAACCCACGACCTTCCGCTCTGGCACTATACCACGGAGGAGGTCTCTAGGTTATCTGAGACCTGAATGTCTGACTGCGCTAAATTGAATTTGGACTTGGACGCACAGCTGCATTGATACTTTCCCATCTGCTGCCAGTATCCCAATGCACCATTAACATCTACATAAAAGACGTCACGCTGCAGTAATCAAACACACGAAATGTTTTCTCTCTTTATTTGTCTATAAAATATGTCGGTATATTGTATTTTAATCATTATTTTCACAGAAAATTATATAGATCATAATTATGCTGCATTTATCCCCCGAGGACACCTTATCGTTGAGACTGTCGTGACCTTCCGATCGTCAACCCTTCACGGCTGCGTATACACCACGTACGTTCCTCAAAAGATTATATTCGGTATACCATATACACACCCGTGAAGTGTTCACCATATGACAATGTTGCATTCACCTTTAAACTACTTATTATTTGAGCGGTTCTATCCCTCACCCCAAGCGCGTTTTAAGTCCAGTGAACTGTTTACTGGGGAGGGGTGTGTGTCAAAGCAGAATAGAATCACAGTGTTCTTTATTGGTCCAACCCAATTATTTTCCCCATCATTTTCGGAAACAGATTTTTAAAAGAAAACACAAAATATTCCCCACCCCTTTTGATCGCCGCATGGCGTGGGTGAAAACTGTGTGGGAATCTAGCAAATGGTCACGCTGTTATCTTTATCAATTATCTATATTTCAGCCGTAGACAGTAATGTAATGATGAGTTTGTGACACAAATGAAATGCATGTCGATTCATCAAATGTAAGATTAAAAAAAAATATCCGATAATCCATAACATTTCATAAATATTTGAGTGACATGGTTAGCCAGCCACCACGCCACGTAAAGTACCAGAAGCTAATAAAAAGATAGAAATTTCCTATGCAGTTAAATAGACACAAATAGATTCAACAAATACACAGTTCATAAATTACGTAAAAAAACGCAGTGAGCGTGATGTTTCCCCGAGTGAACGCCATTGTCGTGTTGTACATTCTGACTTCCTCGTCCTATCTGTAACCCGAAGGGTTCTGAATGACACAAAATAACTAAAGCTCCGTACCGTAAAGCGATGCCTATTTCTCCAAATTCAAGTGATGATTTTATGGAAGTGGTGTTGCGAGTACACATTAAAGCGGGAAATATGGCGCCTCCTCAGCCTGCTGAAGTGGGAAACGACGATCAAAATGGTATTTATTCTATTTCATGATGTATATTAAAAGATCGATAAGATGGAACGAAAAGAATAAGCTTTAAATATATTATCATGGATCCTACAGTGTAGAAATTGTCCCGATTACTCGTGTGTCAACAAAATTTGAAGTGATGGATACAGCGAGCTGCCATCGGACATTGTTATTGTTATCGAATATCATCTGTTTTGGAGATGAGATGATGATGATGATTTTACTGATGAGATGTGACAGTATAAACATTAAGTATGACTTTCACTGAAAATTGAACATGTTGAAAGTATCAGACAACTGATGAAGTGTTGGCGTATTATTCAATGACAGTTAGACTAAATTAAAGATTGGTATTGTTGTCAGAGTTCTAAAGAATTATGATGAAATGCATAGGCCTTAAATGTATATATGCGACGTGCCATAAAAACAGTAGGTTTGCTGATGCACTAGCTAATGTCCTGAAAATAATGACCCTCCCCTAATGTCCACAAAGTAATCCATGCATAAATATGTCACGGCTCACCAGAGGTGTGAAATATCTGTTAATTTCTTTCGAGACTTTCTTGCATATTTGCTCAAAGTTCCTTCTCCAATATTTATCGATAATTGATTGATATTTAGTAAGCGATTATCAATCTCTTATGATCTATATCAATAGCCAGCCCTATATACCACTATCAATTTGTGGTTTATGATTACTTAAACAAAGTTTGCGAAATCCTTATGACGATTAGGATGGAAGGGGTTATATACAAGTGTAGTCATGTTGACATTATACACACAAATAGACTTTAAACTTTGTCATATTTACCCAAGTATGATCCTGATTGAATTGATGTTATGTATGTATGATTCACTCAACTTGATTTGATAATTTGTTCTCAGAGTCTGGTGTGCGGGGAAGGTCGAAGCGTCAGAAGATTGACAAGACAGGCAGATCAGCTGCTTTCGAGAGACTGAGGAAGACCAAAGAGAAGGGGGAGAAGAATAAGTATGAGGTAAGAACACATTTAAGTTGGATACATTTGTCAAACGGTTTTTGTAAGCTAAAGATTGTTTTAATTAATCTAGATTTTGCAACCAAGGGTTACAATTTCTTTTAACATTCAAGACAGTTTATGCTTTTTTACAGGGTTCTTTGTAAGCCATAATATGAGGCAGTGGGCTTGTCTAGTTGTTAAAGCATTCGGTCATCACGCTGAAGACCCAGGTTTGATTCCCCACGTGTACAATGTGTGAAGTATAGGATATACGCATATAGGGCTTTTCCTGAGCTTTACATTTTCATCAAGATACCTTATACAGTGGTCCCTCGCTACAACGCTACCAAATAATTGGTGGGCGTTATAGACGATGAGCCGTTTAACCGAGGCAGAGGCTGGGGAGCGCGCTCGGCCAATCTCACGATCTTCGCCTTGTCTCACACATTGCAATGATACAAGTTGTTTACTGTTCATAGTGTAAAAATATATATCCATTATGTTTTCACCGTTTGTTATTATTTACAAGCCTTAACTGTCACATTCAATGTGAATGTAGTCTACTTACATGAAAATATTGATCGATAATGATAGTAACAGACGCTATGAGTGAAGAGCCAATCACAATTCATTACACAAGTACAGAGTGTTTCAGTGGCATTGATTGGTCATGTTGCTTAAAATACGGAAAACGAGAGTTTTGACCAGCACTATGCGCATTCATACACATTCATACAAATATTGATACACATTCAAGCCAGATTAATTGGTTTGATATGGTTACTTGATCCGAATCATAAGGAATGACCGCCGTGTTGTGACAGCAACTACATGTGAGTTGACAATGTCGCCTCAAATTGGATTGCCCACTAATTAAGAATATTAACTTCGCTTGTGGTTCTTTTTTATTGCATGCACGCGCTTCTAAGATCAAAGGATGTATAGTGTGAAAAGTTAACTAGTAGAACAATCGTATTTCCGGGACGTGCCGCGGATGTTTTCAAACAGATTAGTAGAACTCCATTCAGCGATAAACGGTTGATTATGCAATGAGAAGGTTTATGTGCAAATGAACAACGAACAACAATACAATCATGTCTGTGTAATTTTCAAATTGGCGACAACGCTTCGAAACATATTTTGACAAATTCTCAATTAAAAATTTGAAACCTGAACAAAAGAACATTCTGGAATCTCTTATAGATGGTCCAGATTGTATGGATTCAGTTGTAAAACCCGTATGTATCGTTCGGATACCCCCTGTTAAAGTTTTGGAGGATGCATGATTAGAAATCACATTCTGACAGTCACTTTCATGATCTGGTAAGCGACGATGAGATTGGTGTCGACACAGCTATATAAGCTGCCAAAATGATGTATCTATATACTACCACATCTCATAATATGTGAACTGGTGGCCCAGTCGTCTAAGGTGCTGCAATTTCAGGGTTAGAAACTAGTCCTTATAATGATAACATATAGCAAAACCCTTAAAATTGGCCAATTTCTACTAGTCCTTAGGATACCTTTACCATTGGGCAGTTTGGTAAGGACTACAGGACTAGTGCCAATTTCTAACGCTGAATTTGCTGTCAAGAGACGCGTCACTTGCAACTCTTACTGTACCCGTGTAAAATCAAGTTCTAATAAGGCTTGACCAAAAGCAGTAGTATGTTCTTGGTTTGCGTGATCTTCTGTAATGTAAGAGGGGGCACGGGTGGCCCAGTCGTCTAAGGCGTCGCGATTTGCTGTGCAGAGTTACGTCCCTTGGGCACGCCAGATACCTATGATTGTGGGTTTGAACCCTGGTTCGCCCCGATTATGTTTCTAGGTTTGTCAGCACCATACCTGTGCTTGTGGGTTTCACCGAAATGGTAAATGTCTGAGACCTGCATCACTTCAGGCTTTCCTTCTGCATTAAGCTGACACGCCGTGATGTAACTGGAATACTGTTCAAACCAGTGTTACACAGGGTTTTACCTTGACTTACAAAATTGGGGGGCCGTGGGACTGCCAATAATTCTTTTTAAGGGACCTAGCTGGCAATATTAGTGTTCTGTACATTTTGATAATTACTTCAAAGCCTGGAATGAATCAGTGATAATGTGGATAGTGGTCATGATTGATGGATGAAATGACAGACGCCCATAACTGATCTTGATGTGCCATAGGTACAATGAATATTATTATGCGCTTCTGCGGGATGCAGTATATTTTTTCTCTGCGTCTATTCTCTACATTTGTGCATACAAGATGCACATTTGTGCATCGTGTTAAACCCTGGCAGTGTTCCCGTTTACCGGTAATTACCAGTTTTTAACCGGTAAAATTAGGCTTGGACCGGTAATTCATGTGACTGCCAGTCCCTGTGGACCGGCAAATAAAGTACCTTATAAATCTTAAAAAAACATTGGCAATATTCATATAAACTTATATGAATATTGCCAATGTTTTTTTAAGATTTATAAGGTATATACTTGTATATTTTTAGAATGAAGTCAGTTGTCTGTCACCATCAGGGTTTCCCCTTGTCAATTTTAGTGCAAGGAAATAACATTTTGCCTTGCTTCGAGGTTAAATATGCATTTTTAGTGACTTAATGTAAAAATATTTTTAAAAAGGAGAAATTTGTAACTGAACTTTGTGTGAATGACATGGAGATTTAACTGAATTACTGCAAGACGTCATTGCATTGAACATGATGTTGAAGGAATTAAAACCAGGTAATTTTCATATGTTTTTTATTTGTTGTAAGTTGGGACTGACAAAAATTAGTGGGGACTGGTAATTTTTAGAGTTTCCAGTCCACCAGGACTGACAGTTTCAATAGCCAGCGGGAACACTGCCTGGTTATATCTCCCTCCCTCCCTCCCTCCCTCCCTCCCTCCCTCACTCACTCACTCACTCACTCACTCACTCACTCACTCCCTCCCTCCCTCCCTCCCTCGCTCCCTCCCTCGCTCGCTCGCTCGCTCACTCACTCACTCACTCACTCACTCCCTCCCTCCCTCCCTCCCTCCCTCCCTCCCTCCCTCCCTCGCTCGCTCGCTCGCTCGCTCGCTCGCTCACTCACTCACTCACTCACTCACTCACTCACTCACTCACTCACTCACTCACTCACTCACTCACTCACTCACTCACTCACTCACTCACTCACTCACTCACTCACTCACTCACTCACTCACTCACTCACTCACTCTCCATAACGTGTGAACACCTTGCCCTGCAGGTCCCCCACCAACCAATTCTTGTCAGGAAAGGCGACTTATTGCATTGGGTGGTCAGACTCGGTGGCTTGGTGTACAATCTCATTAACATCAGATCTTAGTTCTCGCCACCGCTGAACAAACATCTGAGGACATCCCATTACGGGTCACGTCAGACCAACCTTGCGCAAACTTTGACCGACCAATGGAATGACCAATCAGAAGGCAGCTTTCTCGTGCTTTACGGCACTAATTTCAAATTGGCGACTTCGCTTCGAAACATATTTTGTCAAATTCCCGATTAAAAATTTGAAACCTGAACAAAAAACATTCTGGAATGGCTAATAGATGGTCTAGATTGTAAGGATTCAGTTGTTAAACCCGTAACTATCGTTCGGAATACCCCCATGTTAAAGTTTTCGATGTTGCATGATTAGAAATCACATTCCGACTGTCACTTTCATAATCTGGTAAGCGACACACTGATTGGTCGGATGAAAGGTCGTTCTGACGTGTCCCCTAATGGGATGTCTTCAGATCTTTGTTTAGCGGTAATGAGAACTAAGGTCTGATTTTAATGAGATTGCTTGGTGTATTGCGTGTCATTGTACCCAAGTATGTGGATCGTTGTTTATGATATTGACTTTTGATTATATACAGCTGATATAGCCTGCTGTCAAAACCTGGAATATTGCAAACTGTTTCATCCAACAAACAAAACCAAATCAAATTGCCATGGCCGACTTTGTGTGCAGGTGGAGGAAGAGAAGGATGTGTACGAGGTGGTGGACGAGAGTAAATACTCGGAGATCGTCAGACAGCGGCAGGAAGATGACTGGATCATAGATGATGGTAAAATTTTACGAAATACGAAATGTGTCGAACTTGGATGTGTCGAACAGAGCTACAGATAAGCACTTTATTTGCGTAAAATACCCACCCAAAATATTTAAAACCCAATTACTTTCAATTAACTTGCGTACAGAAACGCATGGATTAAATGAAAAACCCATATGTATAAAAACAGCTTGCGTAAATACTCAGTGAACCATTTTCAGCATGCGTACAAAGGAGCTAATTTCCAAAACACAATTATGAGCTAATTTACTTTCCGAGTAAAGTCTATATATTTAGAACAGTTATATACATCCAAGGCATTATATAATTTTTTTTAAATCTTAAACTTAAAATGTTCACTAATTGTGGGAAAAACACAATAGAGTGATGACAAGATGAGTGAAAAAATATTGGTTACCCAATGAAAAATGTAATAACCCAATTAAAATAGAAACCCTAGAGGTAAAACCCAGTTGCTCAAAAAGTTATCTGGAGCTCTGGTCGAACTTATGGTTGTCTCGAAGTTAAAACTCGGCCCCTTGTATTCCTTTTTTATTCATCATGTTTCGGTTGTGTTGAACCTCGGATAAGTCAAAGTATTTACATAGGTCCCTTCATCTTTGACACAACGGTGTTTGGCTGCACCTTAAGACACTAGGGATTAGGGGTGACTATTGGTCTGGAAATCACTATTGCGATAACTTGATATTGAAAGAAACTATTGCGATAAATATTGATAGTTTTTAGTGTATCATTTTAGACGGATTTTAGAGTTGAATTAAACCTTGGAACTGAAGTTTCCTTTGAATGTGATAACCATAACAACAAATAAAAAGTAAAGTTTGGGATATGACTGATTTATTTTCCCGTTACCCTAATAATTTAAGAACCATGTGTAAATTACTACCAGTCAAAAACAAAATTGAACAGCATTGCATGTATTTTATTGATATGGTACATACAATCGAAACTATCGATATTCCTAACTGAAATCGATTCTATTGATCGGAAACTGATTTAAGAATCGATTTATTGACTTTAAGTGCTTACCAATAGCAATATATCGATATTTCGATTGATCGCGACACCCCTACTAGGGATGTATGGTAATCATGATAAAGCAACAAACCTTATTTGAAATAAAAATATATTGAGATGTCAATGTGCAAATAGTAAATATCCTGTACTCGAAACACAACTAGAATGGTTTTACCCTGACCCAAACAACTTCAGCATGATAATGCCAAATATAAAAAATATAGCAAAAATTTGCCAAGTTTAAAATACAGAAAGTGTAGCCTAATCTGAATAGGAACACCAAGAAATAAAATCCCCAAACCATATGGTTGTCTCAGAGTTGAATTTAAGCCCATCTCATTAAACGCAGATTGGGACCCGTAATGGACATGATGGGATGTCCTCATATCTTTGTTTGGCAGTAGCGAGATATCCAAGCAGGTCCGGGGTAGAATAGGTCTTCAGCATTCCATGCTTGTTGTAAAAGGTGACTATGCTTGTCGTAAGAGGCGACTAACGGAATCGGGTGGTCAGGCTCGCTGACTTTGTTGATGCATGTCATCGTATCCCAACTACGTAGATCAATGCTCATGATATCAATCACTGGATTGTCTGATTGAGAAGCGATTATTTACAGATCACCGTCATATAGCTGGAATATTGCTGAGTGCGGCGTTAAAAACAAACAAAGAAACAAACAGTAACGAGAACAAAGATCTGATTTTAATGAGATTGGATTTACCGTATTCGACATAATAAGCACCCACGGCGATATTTGCTAAAATATTGGCTACTGAACAATCCCAATAAGCACCCCTTCCGATTAATATTTTGTACACAAGACTATTTATTCGTGAATTATACATTTGTTATATGCACCCTTAATTATGGGCAATTAAATTCTGGAAAAATAATATCTGTCGTATATAAACGTTTCAGGCTGTCAGCATACACCACAAAATTTACGATCTTTCAACTCTGATGTTTTTCACCAAAATAATATTCTAATAAGAGCCCCCTATTTCTAATTTTGAGGGCGCCCTGGGTGCTTATTATGTTGAATACAGTAAGTGTTCCTCGGGCAGTGATGGTGGTTCTTTATCCCCCAGGGGACGAAGTATCAAACACCTGTTTGTCTGTCCAAGTTTGGCTATTTACAGGCTGCCTGGATACATCTGTAATTTTTCTAACTATGTTTCATCTTCTTTAGACGGAGCAGGATATGTGGAAGATGGAAGAGAAATCTTTGACGAGGATCTGGATGGAGATGAGTTCACGAAAGTTGAAAGTATGGATGTTTCCAGAAATACACCATTTTCCCATCAAATACTTCAAACTTTTCCCCCCGTGGTGATTCTGGATCAGAATTGGTCCTAACAGCCTCATTTTGTCGTAAGAGGCGACTTAATTGACAGCTTGGATCATTGCTTACAATATCAGTCACTGGTTTGTCTGGTCCAGAATTTATTATTAACAGGCTACTGTGATATAGCACCAATATTTATAACAATGACTCTGGCATCAAACATAAAAAATAAATATCAGTTGCGAGGTAATTGATTTAGTTTTTTTGGGTGCGTTGGATGCATATTGACCAAACAACATGATTGATTCCCTTCAGCTAAGAAAAAAACGGACAAGAAACACAAGAATATTGTGCGTCCAGGGACCAAGCCCAAGAGTGACATCAAGAGCATGTTTGCCGCGGCGGCAGTCACCTCCAAGAAGAAGCCGGAGGTAACACTGACACTTCATTTTTACATGTATTTTAAAAAATCCTGACACAAGGTCATGGTCATCTTTGAGGCATCATTTATTGTCAGTTACTGTTGCATCTTTACTTGCAACATCCCGAAGTTTGGAAGTTGTTGCAACTTCTGAACGTTTAAAGAATGTCAAGGTCACTGTCAAGATCACATTGAGGTTGGAATTTTGGATTAAGGACGGTGTTTTTCTGTAATATCAGGTGAAAACAATAAACAAAGAATGATGATTATTCCTGGGATACTGTGAGGTAACTATGCACACTTCAAATACAAACCAGGAACGGAAACTTCTGCCTCCTGCAGGTGTGGTATATCGACTGAAGTTTCATATCTAATGTCTCTTTTTACAGAAAAATGTGACCCTGGAGAACGATGAGTTGCTAGGCGACCTTATGGAGGAGCTGCATCGAGGCCCCAACAGCAGCTCGTTCAAACCCGTGCCAGTTAAAGTTAACAAGACCAAGCCAGCCAAGTTAGTAGTTAACTGTCACAGTCAGCCATCATTCAGTACACTCTCATGAACTCTCATGAAAGGCCTTTTGTATTTTTAGTTGACAAAATAGACACAATTTATTGATAACATCTTCTTTAATATTGTAAAGGTGACGTTTCGGTATAGATCCTTATACCGTTGTCAAGCAAGACTGTCCAGCTGACAAAAAAATACTTGAAATGAAGAGGGGGAGGGGAGACCCTGTTTTACAATTTACAAAAAAAGAACAAGATCTTCGGTATAGTTTCACAATCATACGTCTGTGATTCAAAGGGATGAGAATCTTCCACGGATCCGCAAAGTTTAGTGACCACAAATTTGTTAGAATCTGATGGCTGCCCCACAAACACCCCCAAATTATCGACCACACTCCATTGAAAAGAAGTTACACCTGAAAAGGAAAATACCGTATATCGCTGTGTATAAGGCGAGTTTTTCGTACCTAAAATGAGGGGGTTAAGAAGGGGGGTCGTCTTATACACGGAGTCGAAGATCTCACATTTTTTTCCACTGGCGATGTCAACCGGCGTCCGATAGCCAGCCCAGCATTTGACAAAAAAACTTTGCATTTCGTCCTAAATAACTGTTCCAATAACTATTTCCATACATAAACATGATTTGTATCTCTTTTCCTTGAATAAAATTTAATAATTTCTGCAAATAAAGTTGAAATGACCCTCGCCTCGATGCAGATTGTCAAACCACCTGACACGGTAAAACAATCAACATCCGTGAGTAGAGAGCCGGAAGTACCGGTAAGCATTTGTATATTGCACATGTGACCTAACATGTGATAACCGGTGAAGCTGAAATCAATTCCCGCTGTTTTTACAGTTGTATTAACGAGTGTTGGAGACGGTGTGTACATGTGATTGTGGAATAAACACGCTGAATGTGAAGCAAACATAAGCCTAGTTAGTTACAACATAGTTAATTGGCGATTAAATTACTCACCATTGTCTCTTATATGTTAATACTTCATTAATGAACTTTATTTTATGGGCACCAATTTGGTGTCGTACCGTGTAAACACAAAATGGCGACGTGTGCTGGAGTTACACACGCGACCTATCATTATAGAAAAAAACAACGCAAGATAAACATATTTTTATTGCATATATAAGGTTTGTGTGCGCACTTGTGATGTGCTTCATTCCAGGTCGCCTTAACACACAGAGTATAGGATTTTGGGTTGATTTTGAAGGCGTGTACAGGTGTTTTAGTACCAGTGCTAATCTGGTGGTTTTGTCTTGTAGGCCAGCCAACCCGTTCAGCATGGACAAGTCCTCCCCCCGCGTGAAGCCGATCAAGTCGGTGAAACAACCACGGAACATCAAGAGGGAGCTGTATTCTGAGGAGGTGAAGGTCAGACATGTGAAGGTCAAGCAGGAGCCTGTAGACGACATGCCAGAGATTGAGGACTATGGAAGCATGGACGTGGATGACAACAAGAACGATATCACAGATGTCGTGTCTCAAGGTAGGCCGGACATCATCCTCGATTTTCAGGAGTATTCTCCATTGTGTTACAGTATATACCTAGGACCTGTACGCCACTCGTTGATAAAAGTGGAAAAAAATCCTCGGCAAGCCTCAGAGTTTTCCCACTTTTTATCAACTCGTGTTGATATATTTGATATTAAAAGACACTCGGGTGAGATTCTCTATATGACGGCTGACTTTGGTGTTTAATTCACTCTTGCAAACAATCATCTGGCTGAGCCATACCAAAAAGTTAAAAGATTGTTGTTACCCTGCCCGGAACAGATAACCGGTCCCTTGTCTTTTAACCACGCCCTAATCCACTGATGATGTTTTTCAAGTCCTGAAGTCGCCCTGAATGATCTCACAAACGTGATAAACATCCACATCCTGTGTCACTTGAAACTTTTGACAGACATTTACCTGACATGCCAAGAATATAAGGCTAAAAAAAACAATAGTCTTAGTTCTCAGGCACCGCCCGCATCTAACTGTCTGCTGCACATTTCGGTTTTGTTTCCATTTTCAAAAAAATAAAAAAATAAGAAGACAATGCGATCCAATATAGCACACAGTTACTTCCCTTTACATGCACACTGCTTTACTGTGGATCTCGTGTTATGGTCATGGTGGCAATAGGAGTTTGTATGCTTGTTTATGTAGAAAGGCCTTTCCCAGGTTGATGGTACAAAACTGTTTATTTGGTTACATACTAGTTTGAACAAGCACACACAAAAAAACACTGCCCACCTGCACTATATTTTCAAAAGTCATTGCCTGAGAACCAATTTTTTTATGTTTTGAACCTTAATGAAAAGTTCGAAGTCTTGTGAAACTCAATTGTTTCCTTTCTTCCAGACGACTCGGCTATGGACCTGAATGACATTGACTTCGATGACGAGGTGCCGGAAGTGTTGACGCCCGCAGTGAAGGAGGAGAAACCAACAGTTAAGACAGAACCTGCCACCAAGTATGTACTCAACAGTCACTTACCGTATTCGACGTAATAAGCGTCCACGGCGATATTTGCTAATATATTGGCTTGTGAACAATCCCAATTAGCACCCCTTCCGTTTGATCAAGGTACACAAGACTTATTTATTTGTGTATAATATGCACTCGTGTGTTATATGCACCCTTAATTATGGGCAATGAAATTCTGGATAAATGTATCTGTCGTGTATAATATGCACAGACTTTTATTTCGTATCATTTCAGGCTGTCAGCATAAACCACGAAATTTAAAATCTTTCAACTCAGGTTTTTCCCCCAAAATATTATTCTAATAAGAGCCTCCTATTTCAAATTTTGAGAGCCCCCTGGGCGCTTAATACGTCGAATATGGTATCTTCTTTAAGTTGAATGTAACACAGTTAACAAAGTTAAAACAGCAGTGTGGCTTAATATATACCAGATTGTTTCTGTTTCATTGACCGCCTCCGTGGCGTAGTGGATAGAGCGTTTGCCTGGATGGTTGGTGGTTCATAAGACATTAACAAGATACTTATTGTTACCCTGCCTGGCACATGGCATGGTGTCACTATACTGTGTCTGATCGGATCCATGTTAAACTGCGGCATAGTATGTCAGTGGGCTAGCACTATAAAACAGACATTAATCCGAACTAGTACAAGCAGCCACACACACATGCACATCGCTATATAAGTGCAATAATTTTGAATGCGATGTTAAACCCCATTTCACCTTACCTGTTTTGTTGTTAGCTAACTGATAAGCTATGAATAGGAGCCAAAATAACACCAGGATAGATTTTTGCATAAGAAGCAAAATTTCCCCTCAACCTGATTTTTGCACTTAAATATGACCAACTGCTCCCTTGCAAGTTATGAGATAAAAGGAAGATTGTCTACGAGGAAAACATCTTGTCACGTTATAATGGTTATAGAAATACAGTTAACTACACTTATCGGGTAGCCTAGTGGTTAAAGCGTTTGCTCGTCACGCCGAAGACCCAGGTTCGATTCCTGACATGGGTACAATGTGGGAAGCCCATTTCTGGTGTCCTCCGCCGTGATATTGCTGGAATATTGCTAAAAGCGGCGTAAAACCATACTCACTCACTCACTCACTCACTCACTCACTCACTCACTCACTCACTCACTCACTCACTCACTCACTCACTCACTCACTCACTCACTCACTCACTCACTCACTCACTCACTCACTCACTCACTCACTCACTTATAACAAACACACTTTACACAGATATTACAAACTGTTTGTTTGGTCCTGGCCATTTGCTGTATATTTTATCATATGGAATTGATGGATATAACGAACATGCTCATAACGAAATAACGGATACAGCAAACTCACTTTGTAGTCCCGTGTGTACTCCGACAGCGATAATGTTTAAGTGTGTAACGAACTGTTAACCCCTGAGCTGAGCTCCTCGCGTGTCATGTGTCATCCGCAGCCAGGCACTGCTGTTCATAGCGGCAATAAACAATTGAAGACAATTGATTTACTCTTAAGTACTGACATTTGTCCTCAAATTACATCCTCAAATAACAATAGCAACACAGTGTAGGCTATAGCCTTTGAAGTGGATATAGTCTGTGTAAAAAATGTGATGACTAGAGTGAGGAAGTACGTCTTTCAACGAATGGTCAAAGCAAAATCATAGAAACATGTTTTTATTTATGTTATGCATTAAGAATATACAGCACATGTACAGTGCACACTTTTGTGACTTAATCGAAGATGTCCGACGTTCAAAATATGTATAATGAACAACGGATATAACAAACTAACATTAATGGTCCCTTTGAGTTTTTTATGACTGAAGTTTACTGTATACCAAAACCTAAGTAAACAACCAGAATTTGTTTTCAGTGGAGAGTTTCTGTCGACTGGTTGGGGAAGTGTTAAAATGGAAGAGCCAATGACAGTCACTGATGTGCACGTCGACTCCTCCCAGTTGCCCTTGACGACCAATGACAGTGGGGATCAGGTGCTGCGATTCTATTGGCTAGATGCTTATGAAGATCATTACAAGCAGCCAGGTATGTAGAGGTCAAGGTCGGGGTGTCAGGTGCTGGGATTCTTTTGGCTAGATGCTTATGAAGATCAGTACATGCAGCCAAGTATGTAGAGGTCAAGGTCGGGGTGTCAGGTGCTGCGATTCTATTGGCTAGATGCTTATGAAGATCAGTACATGCAGCCAGGAATGTAGAGGTCAAGGTCGGGGTGTCAGGTGCTTCGATTCTATTGGCTAGATGCTTATGAAGATCAGTACATGCAGCCAGGAATATAGAGGTCAAGGTCGGGGTGTCGGGTGCTTCGATTCTATTGGCTAGATGCTTATGAAGATCAGTACATGCAGCCAGGAATGTAGAGGTCAAGGTCAGGGGTGTCAGGTTGCTGTGGAGGAATAACAGGTTTGGTAGCCAAAAATCACCTTATGACTATTTCACATCATAACCTATGCAATTTTTTCAAATACTGTATATTACTGGAAAGATAATCTAGAAAGAAGTCCCAATCTAAATGATTTGGTGAATCTCAATTGAGGGACACTTATCAAATAACAATTGTGTTAAAGGTAGCATAACAATTGTACAACAGGATTACACAATTGTGCCAACAGTCAAACTTAGTGTACAACAGTAAGCATGACAAAGCACAATTGTACAACAGATAGTATAAAGATTGTATAACTATCAGCATGACAATTGTACAACGGTTACCGTAGCACAAACGGCTCGATTCCGCATTGTTGTAAGTGGGAGTTATCCTCCCTTGAATCGCATTGTACAATTTGTTTGTTGTTTAACGCCGCACTCAGCAATATTCCAGCTATGTGACGGCGGAATGTAAATAATCGAGTCTGGACCAGATAATCCAGTGATTGATATCATGAGCATCGATCCACGCACTTTGGATCGATGACATGGATCAACCAAGTCTGCGAGCCTGACCACCCGATCCTGTTAGTCGCCTCTTACGACAAGCATGGGTTGCTGAAGACCTACGCATTGTACAAGTCAGCATGACAATTGTAGAACTGATAGCAAAACACAATTGTACATGGCAGCGAAACACAATTGTATTTTAGTGTTACATAATTGTACAAGTAGGCATAACAATATTGTGCAACAATCAATATACCACATTTCACAAGTAAGAAAAGTCAGTTTTCAAACAGACATCTCTAGGTCTCTTACAAATATTTTTTTCCTTTGTATAAACTAAATTATACACATTAAGTTGCATAGCCATGTACATTTTGTGATACAGTGATCCCTCGCTAGATCGCTACCTTTTGGGTCCAAATAACTGATGAGCGTTATAGATGATCAGAGGTTTCACCGAGGTGGAGTTGTAGGGGGCGGATGACCAACAAAACAGTATACTTGCTCTGCCTACCTAACACGATCTACGTTGCACGTTTCAGAGTTTAAAAAAGATAAGAATAGCAGTTTTTTATGATTCATAGTGTAATAAAGATTTATCGAGTGTTATGCGCTTGAAAAACAAAAACACATCTTATCCCAAATGGTCTCAGCAATATTTATTCCTCTATGAAGGTCAGTTAAAATCCATGTTTTGGGTTCCAGGTGTGATTTACCTGTTTGGGAAGGTGTGGATAGACTCGGCCAAGACGCACGTCAGCTGCTGCGTGACGGTGAAGAACATCGAGAGACGCGTCTACTTCCTGCCTCGAGCCACGGTAGGTTGGACAAAGATGGCTACAGTTGATGAAGTCAGTTTGTATGTCCAGAATCACCCAACCGTGTTTGAATTACCACTTGTCTGAATTCAAGAAGGTCTAGTGGAATTTCCTCATTGACTAGGGTTCTGACAGATTACATTTAGATGGGCTCGAATACCAGACCAGGGGAGATAACATCTTCACATCTCTAACCTACATGTTGCCAATCTCATTAAAATCCGATCTGAGTTCTCGCTGCCGCTAAACAAAGATCTGAGGACATCCCATTACGGGTCACGTCAGAACGACCTTTTGCAAACTTTGACCGACCAATGGAATGACCAATCAGAAGGAAGCTTTCTCGTGCTTGCGTCACTCGTTTCAACCTGGCAACTTCCATTTCAGAGTACGCTTGAAAAATATGTTGACACAGTTCTCGATTAAAATTTTGAAAACTGAACAAACGAACATTCAGGAATATCTAATATATGGTTGGGATTGTATGGCAGTGCTTCCAACGTACTGTGAGACAGACGATAATTTTGACGGAATCATTCGTTCGGAATACCCCGTGTTAAAGTTTTCGAGGTTGCATGATTAGGAAACACATTCCGACTGTCACTTTCACGATCTGGTAAGCGATGCTTTGATTGGTTGGATGAAAGGTCGTTTTGACATGACCCGTAATGGGATGTCCTCAGATCTTTGTTTAGCGATAGCGAGAACTAAGATCTGATTTTAATGAGATTGACATGTTGCAGACATAGAACAGAAACTGTAAACTGTAAAGTGTCTAGTCACATGCTGACTTCGACCGTGCAATGTGTGGCATATAACCACTGGAATTGGTACTCAAGGTTGATTTTAGAGACACAGGTTCTCGAGTCCGCTTTCTTCTACCCGTTGATCCCTATTATGGACTACCTCTTTGACCATATATGGTGACTCTGTAGCCGCTAGCGGGCTATTTTGGCGGACAAGTAAAAATGTAATTAGTGAATAAATTTCTAACCCTGCTTACATGTTTGTGCGTTGCTTGTCGAGTTCACTTCACATTTTGTGGTGTCTGAATTTCCAGTCGTAGATTTTGTAGTTTTAATATTTCTTGATCCATACACCAAGGGCTCTATTTACAAGAACTTTGTTGTCTATTTACATCAGCAATAATACTGGTAAAATTGCTACTAAGGGGATTAGAATTTGGTTGGTTGTAGCTGATGTCTCGCTGTGTCTGATTTGTTATGACACATCTGGAATTGATTGGCCTTTTTCTGCTTGACGATCTGATTGTAATATACAGCAGGGTTTGCACAGATTTGAAATGCTTGAATTTAACCATGGCCGATGAAAAGTAGTTTAGTCTGCTGTGGTGGTATCTTATTGACTTTACTTGAAAAGTGATGGAATGTAGATAAGATCAGTGTACATATGAAATAATTGTTAATGAAAATTATCGAGTTTCAGTGGGGTTTTTACTTCCTGTCGCTTACAACATAAAAAACTGTCTTCTGCAGGGTTAGAAACTAACAGTTTTCGGCCACTAGTCCTTATCATGCTTATAATGATACCATATAGCAAAGCCCTTAAAAAGGGCAAATTTTTACTAGTCCTTATGATAACTTTACCATTGGGCAGTTTGTCTAGGACTAGTGCCAATTTCTAACGCTGCTTCTGTCTTTTATACGCTATGTGTGTAAATTACGAAACTAGCACATGAATTTTATATCAACACCCCCCTCTTTCAAATGACAAAGGATGTACTTGGATGAATGAAAATGACAAGGTAGACACAATTTTATGGATAACAACTTCTTTAATACTGTGAAAAGTGAAGTTTCGGTGTAGATCCTTATACCGTTGTCAAGCAAGACAAGGATCTATACTGAAACATCGCTTTTTACAGTATTAAAGAAGTTGTTATCCATAAAATTGTGTCTACCTTGTCATCCATCAACTTCTAAGTAATGAATATCAAACAATTTGCATGAAAATGGTCCTTTAAAACCTTGAAAACAATTTGCTAAAAAAGTGCTTGAATTTACAGTCCAAATGTCTGTATTTACCCAGTACTGGTTTGTGTTTGTCGTTTTATCTTGCTTTTATTGCGTTACCATTGGTAGTTATCAAAAATGTCCTTTTGGTGTCTAAGCAATGTTTACTGAGTTGCCATGGCAACTTAAATAAAATGGAGACAGCTTCATGAATGAGGGCATTGATTTCCAGCGTGTGAATCCGAAGACCGGAGAAGACACGGGGGACCCTGTCGCCATGAATGATGTGTATTCCGAATTCAACGACAAAATATCCGAGAAACACAAGATAATGAAGTTCAAGTGCATGGTAAGCTTCTATCAACGTGAAACTTGGTATGTGTACTGAACACAAACACTTTAAGACCACAATAAAGTGGTAAACTTTTCACAACCCGGCTGGCCCCTCTTCCCCTGATGGGTGTTTCGGCCGTTAGGTAAGGGAATTGAGAGAGTGACGAGTATACCGGCCTGGTCACATGGTTCTGGTGCACCTGCGCATCTCAGAGGTGTGTTTGGGTGAGATGTTCTTCTGGTATCTGGGAACAAAGCACCGGAAGTTTCCGCTACCTTTTGGAAATGAGATGAGATAGGTAATTAGTATGAGTCAGAATAAGTATTTATGATATTTTTACTCTAAAAAAACCTTTTTGTCCAACTTGATCTGTATAATTTAAGAAGTGATCAAAACCTTTAGAAATTCTTTTGCGTTCATAGGAATGGGATTTCTTCATTGATGTTCATTTTGACACATATATGTTTGGGATTGTATTTTTGGGCATGTTGACATTACATCAATATTCCAGGTATATAACAATGTTACAGTAGATTTCAGTTGTTTTCAGGGACAATTGTTTTCTGATGTTTTTTTCATGAACCAAGATGTTTTTTCTTTAGTTATTAAGATAAAGGTAGAAATATAGGGACGAAATTTAACTTTCAAATTTGTCTTTGTAGCTAAGAAAATGCTAATTTCCTCCCTCGTATGTGAATTTGTTGCCAGAAAGTGACCAAACAGTATGCCTTTGAGAAGACCGATGTGCCCGTGGAGTCCGAGTATTTGGAGGTCCGATATGCTGTAAGTGTTTGCAGATGTGTCAAGTATGAAGGCATATTGTAAGGGTAACGCTATTTTTCAGGGCATTATCATTTGCAGAAGCCCGAGGTCTTCCATTAACTGCCCGACGAAGGAGGTCAGTTGAAAAGACCGAGGGCTTCTGCAAATGATAATGCCCAGAAAAATATCGTTACCGTTATTATAGCTAAAATGGATGGAATTTGTTGAAACATTTATTGCAGTCAACACGAATGTCACTGACCCACTTTTACAAACATGGAAACGTCATAGAACAAAGCAGATGACGTCACTATTGAACGTGACGTCACCTATCCCTATCCTATGACGTCACCCAACAACGGGCGTGATAATGGCCCGTTGTCAAGCAATATGAGGGCATTATCAAGTTAAAGTGGCCTGCTCATTTCCAATAACATGCGAGCGGTTTAATGATAATTCTATCCATTTTAGCTATAATAAGTCATAGAGAATATGTTCTAGAACACTAGAAATAATGACATGCTGCGTTTGACAGGAGACCCCGTGGGGAACGGTTATTGTAAGTCCCCTGTCCCTTACTGCTCATCGTAAGTGGCAACAAATTTGGGTCTGGTAGTCGGGCTCAGTTGCGTGGATGGCGCTGATTATTTCAACCACTTGTTGTCTGGCCCAGACGTGGTTATTTAGAGGTCGCTGTGAAGTTACAATCTGTGCGAAATATGGCTCTTAAGATCATTTAGGTAGATTTTAAGGGTTAAAATATGGAGTATTATTAGCTGAGCTTACCAGACTGAACAGAATTTTACTAGACTTGGGTTTCGGACTGGAGCCTAAAGCTGCTGTTATTCACATGAGCTATGAAATAGTCTTCCTGAGTATTTTAGCATACTGCAGGCTTTGCACAGATTTGAAATGCTTGAATTTAACCGTGGCCGATGAAAAGTAGTTTAATTCTGCAGTTTCATCATCGAAGTGCTGGAAATGTGGTGGTATCTTATTGACTTTACTTGAAAAGTGATGTAAATAAGATCAGTGTAGATATTAAAAAATCGTTAATAAAAACTATCCAGTTTCAGTTGGATGTTTACTTCCTTTCGCTTACAACATAAAAATGAAGAACTGTCTTCTGTCTTTTATGAGTTACGTGTGTTAATTACGAAACTAGCACAAAGTATGCAATGCTTGTTTGATGCAGGCCGACCTTCCGCAGCTGCCAATGAACCTACAGGGAGAAACCTTCAGCCACGTGTTTGGCACAAACACTTCAAGGTACGTTATCACTACAGGGAGGGCCCCAGGTGGCCCTGTCATCAGAGTGAGTGAGTATGGTTTTACGCTGCTTTTATCATTGTTTAGCAATATTCCAGCAATATCACGGCGGGTGACACCGGAAAATGGGCTTCACACATTGTACCCACTGTCAAGCCATGCTTGCCGTAAGAGGCGACTAGCAGGATTGGGTGGTCAGGCTCCCTGACTTGGTTGATGCATCTCATCGTATCCCAATTGCTAGGATTTACGCCAATCACTGGATTGTCTGGTCCAGACTCGATTAATTAGAGACTGCCGTCATATAGCTGGACTATTGCTAAGTGCGGCGTTAAACAACAAACAAACAAACAAAATATCCACCTCACATACGGGGTACCCATTCACTGCTGGACGGACAGAGGCACATTTGAAGACATTTGAAGACATTTGTTGCTCTGACAGCAACATTTGCAGTTTTGTTGAATAATAATTCCGCTAACAATACCGTTGAAAATCATTATGTAGTTCATTTAGTAAAGGGAGAAAACTGAAGTTTAAAGAAATACTGACTAGATTTCTCAGAGAAATGTAGTCAGTGTTTCTTTAAAGTTGACTTTCAGATGTAACGGGAATATTATTCAAAGTGCCATTAAGCACTGATCACTTCTTATTTTGTCTGTTCCAGTTTAGAGTTGCTGCTGTTGGACCGGAAGATGAAGGGACCAACATGGCTGGACTTAAAGACACCACGTAAGTCGCTTTTTCTGTTCACTGCATAATTGTAAACTACTTTTGAAATCAGATTTCACATGTCAGAGATTTAACACATCAGTTGTGAGCAACAATTTATAAGTCAATCTTTGAAATTAATCCTGAATTTCATCTCAAGTTAATTACCATCCGTTAAAGTATTCAGAGAAAATAAACATTTGTATCTATTTGTAGTCAGAAACCAGTTATCTCCCTTCCAATTATTTGAGGGGCGGTCGGGTAGCCTAGTGGTTAAAGCGTTCGCTCGTCACACCAAAGACCCGGGTTCGTTTCCCGACATGGGTACAATGTGTGAAGCCCATTTCTGGTGTCCCCCGCCGTGATATTGCTGGAATATTGCTAAAAGAGGCGTAAAACCATACTCAGTCAGTCCAATTATTTGCTGGTTATGTTAGAGTTGAATGTGCTCAAGTCTGTAACAAATTGAATCGTGAGGCCTGAAGTGTACATTTTCATACACAATGATGCTAAGTGTAAAATATAGAGATTATTATCCAAACATGTGTGTCACACTGATTTTACGAAAAGAATTCTTGTATTTCCCGATATGTAATACATGAATTATTACCAATTATTTCCTAATTCTTTTGAGCTCCCCTTTAGAAAAATGCACTGATCCCAACCACCGTCTTAGAGAACCAAAACTGTCAAATGACATCAACAATCTTCAGCTTTGACGTTGTTTCTTGTGTGACATCATTCCGACCTTACACTAAAATAAGATTCGAATGACATCAACAATGCCGTTGAGAAGACGTAAATATTACACTGGTGCGTCTGAAGTGATCTTTGCACTAGTGCGCATATGATTTTTTATGAAATCGGTTATTTTTAACCCAATGGGTAATGAAATGTAAACTTGCATGACCTTCACCCTGTTGGAGACGTAGAGTTTAGTTACTGTGACTTTCCTCGGGCCATGTTTCAGAGCTCCCGAATCCTCCCATCAGCTGGTGTAAAGTTGAGGTGAGTCAGGTGACCTGTTATCATCAGCATCAATATTCACTGTGCAGAGTTGTGTCTCTAAGTTCGGTCAGGATGTGCTGATTGTGGGTTTGAATCATGGATTCTGCATCTGAGTTTGTGAGCACCATTCCTATGGCCGTGGATTTCAACAGTGGTAAATGTATTGCGGTGACCAAAGTCGCTCATTTCCTCACTGATTATTATTATGGGTAATTATTGGGTCCACCTCGCAATAGTGAAGGTATGACACAAAATGTATTCTGATTCAGAAACAAAGACACAAGCTGATTATGAAAGTTGAAAATTTTATACATAAATAAAAAAATAGATCCGGAGACCTTGCTTTTTTTAAATTGAAAAACAGCCATGGACTGAAAAATGCAGCTGTTTTTTAATCAAAGTGTGCACATCTGCAATATAAAGCGTGTCATTTTGTTTCATTACAACAACCTTGACGTAACATGCATGTATGTATTGGTGGATCGTCTAGCCCTGAGTCGGTGTATTTCAGGCTGTGCTGACGAGGCCTGACTACATCACCGTGGTGAAAGACGCCTCTGTGGCTGCCCCGCCCCTGGTGGTCATGTCCCTCAACCTACTCACCCTCCCCAACCCCAAGACCCACCAGAACGAGGTTAGTAACACCGATCTGTGCCGGACAGTCTCCCGCCCAAGTAATGATGCTCCAACTTTATGTCATCACTGTTTTTACTTGATTTAAAGATTTCCTTATACAACATACAATATACAACATAAATATGACATACAGCATACAATATAAAGTACAATATACAACATACAATCCAGAATGCAGCATGTATACAATAAAATGTACAACATAAATATGACATACAGCATACAATATAAAGTACAGCATACAATACAAAGTACAATATACAACATACAATACAGAATGCAGCATGTATACAATACAATGTATAACAAAAATATGACATAAAGGCATACAATATAACATGTAGCATGCAATACAATGTACAACATACAATACAGCATGCAGCATACAGCATACAATACAATGTACAACATACAATACTATGTATAACATTTAATTTACAATGTGTACTGTACGACCAATTTGACTGAATATCTTTGTTTTGCAGATTTTGCTATTCATTCAAAAACAGCCATTTTATTTCTTTATTTTAACATTTCATCTGTGAAACAACACATTAGTCTGGTCAAGATGTCATGTGATATCGTGAGTCAGAAACCATCTTTAACTTTAAATGTCCTGAGACAAAGCGAGATGCTTTGAATCTCGATTTCTTGGAAATAATGTTTTTTAGCATCCTGTGTGCATATGAACCTGCAGCGGAGTTACCTCCCCTTCACTACTTTCAGATCATCGGGGCGGCCAGTCTGCTTCACAACAACTTCCACATGGACAAGCCAGCTCCCTCACAGCTCTTCCAGCAACACTTCTGTGGTGAGTACTGAGTCTCTGTGACTAGTAGTGTGCTGCTGTACAGTAGTGTTTACAAACCCATTACTGTACTCTTCAGTAGTTGTACACCGTTACAGCAGTACTGAGTCTCTGTGACTAGAAGTGTGCTGCTGTACAGTAGTGTTTACAAACCCGTTACTGTATTCAGTAATTGTACACCGTTACAGCAGTACTGAGTCTCTGTGACTAGTAGTGTGCTGCTGTACAGTAGTGTTTACAAACCCGTTACTGTACTCTTCAGTAATTGTACACCGTTACAGCAGTACTGAGTCTCTGTGACTAGTAGTGTGCTGCTGTACAGTAGTGTTTACAAACCCGTTACTGTACTCTTCAGTAATTGTACACCGTTACAGCAGTACTGAGTCTCTGTGACTAGTAGTGTGCTACTATACAGTAGTGTTTACAAACCCATTACTGAAGAGTTAAGTGGACTTGTGCCAGGATACAGTCAATGCTTTGTGTAATATTGTGTAATGTGTGGAGAGAATAAAACTCAAATCTCAACCTGGATCCACGAGGATGGTCCACTTACTTCTGAAAGTAACTGTTCTGTGACATATTTTCTCTCTTGCAGCGATATCGAGGCCCAATGATTGTATATTCCCCTATGACTTCAAGGACAAAGCCCAGAAAGAAGTGAGTTATGCTTTGTAGACTATGGTCTCACCCCATGGGGGACCTGGGTTGGAATATTCGTTCCCAGCAACGTGTGCTGATGGTAAGAGACGCCGGAATGATCGTGTTGAGATCCTTGGTGACTGGGTTAAATAAGTGCCATCATATCCCGAACGCGTGATTCGTTGCTCAATATATCAATGGATCACTGTATTGTCTGGTCAAGACGTATTTGTAGGCCGCCATTTCATAGGTGGAAAACTGCAAAGTGCAGCATTGAGCAACAAATAATAATGTCCTGTGCTGGTAGAAAGAGGCAACAAAATGGACATTATTGATTGTTTATTGTTTACTTAAAGCCGCACTCAGCAATATTCTAGCTATGTGATCGCGGTCTGTAAATAATCGAATCTCGACCAGACAATCCAGTGATTGACATCATGACCCCCGATCCACGCAATTCGGGTACGATGACATGCATCAACCAAGTCAGCGAGTCTGACCATTCGATGCTCTCAGTTGCTTCTTACGACTAGCCTTATCAACTTTTACGTCATGCATAGGTTGCTGAAGACCCATTATTGATTGTGTATCATTGTACCAGATAGTGTGGATCAGTGCCTGTTATATCAACCTCTTTGAAGGCTGCCATAATATAGTTTCTTCTTTGATAGGCATTTAGAAGTTGGAGGACTAAGTAAGGATAAGAATTTATGGATGAACAACTTCTTTATTACAATTAAGAGCGACGTTTCGCTGTGCAGAATTGCGTCCCTTGGGCACGCCAGAAACCTATGATTGTGGGTTCGAATCCCGGTTCGCCCCGATTATGTTTCTAGGTTAGTCAGCACCATACCCGTGCTTGTTGGTTTCAAATCTGCATCACTTCGGGCTTTCCTCCCACATTAAGCTGACACGCCACGATATAACTGGAATACTGTTAAAAGCGGCGTTAAACCCAACTCACTCACTCACTCACCACATCAACTGAATCAAGACATGATTTGGCTCTTACTTTTCGCGACTTTTCAATATTGACGGTGTCTAAATGCGGGCAGGCAACATTTATGGGTCACCTACCCGACTGTCTTGTTGGGATTTGAAATAATTTCAAACACTTCTAGCCAGTGTCTTGAGTAAGTAGTTCGCTAACCAGCTTCAGTGGCAGAGAGATTAGTGATGTCATTTGATTGTGACACTATGGTGACCGTTGACATTTTCTTAGAAAGCATTGTGATGCAATTTCATTGTGATACCAAGGTGATATTGCTTGACCTCATTCAAGCAGTACCTCCTGTGGATGCCAGTTTTGGGCAATAAGTTTACACCATACTTCTCTGTGCATAGAGTCGGACAATGAAGACGGAAATCCTCCCTAACGAGAGGGCGCTATTGGGTTTCCTGTTGGCCAAGATACATAAAGTGGACCCAGACATCATCGTGGTACGTGTGGGGGATAATTATCTCGCTGATATTCTGGATCAGGCAAATGATGTCAATCTGACAACTATGGAAACGGATTTCAAATGTTGCTGATGCTGGCAGTACACCATTTTAATGAAGTTCTGGACTTGTTGCAAGGCAATAGAAGGAAAGTAAACCAACCCATCTTTTGTATAGTAGGTGGTATGTTATTCATTTTTATAGCTAAAATGGATAGAATTATCAGTAAACCGCCTGCATGTTATCAGAAATCAGCAGGCCACTGTAACTCAATAAGGCCCTCATATTGCTTGACAACGGAGCCACTATCACGCCCTTGTTAGGCGACGTCATAGGATATGGATAGGTGACGTCACGTTGAATAGTGACGTCATCTGGTTTGTTCTCTGACGTTTCCATGTTTGTAAAAGTGGGTCAGTGACATTTGTGTTGATTGCAGTAAATGTTTCTTTTTATTTGATAACAAATTCCATCCATTTTAGCTATGATAACGGTAACGCTATTTTTCAGGGCATTATTCATTTCCTCAGGCCATTAATGGAAGACCTCGGGCTTCTGCAAATGATAATATCCTGAAAAATAGCGTTACCCTTATAATATACTGCAGGTGTCCAGGTACTAGTATCTGCTCAAATGTTGTTCATTTGTTCCCCGACCAGTGGATCCGTTTGCATTCCAGTTATCATTCTCAACTCCTTCGGGAGTATACAACCCAAGCTGCCTACGGGCCCTAGAAGGTTTTATGTCCACAGCATATCAGGTACCCATTCCCCATGTTGCTGGAATATTAACAATTGTTGTGCTATTAATATTGTCTTGAAATGTATGTAAATTGGGAGTAAATTGGGGAAATTTGATGATTCTGCACAAGGCTTATCTTGAGAGGATATTTCTTCAGTTAGAAACTGTATTTCAGGGTCACGATATCTTTGGGTTCGACATCGACATCTTCCTGCATCGAATCAATGCCAACAAGATTCCACACTGGTCCAAGATAGGAAGGCTGAAGCGGACGACCATGCCTAAACTCTCGGTAAGTACAGCTGTCACATCTCTTAGTAAATACAATTGTCAAAAGTCCTTTCTTTGTTTCAAATTTGTATAGACGTAAAGTTCTGCCAATGAATTCAATTCTGAATGAATGATATTTTTCAGAGTGGTCATGGAGGACGTGGTTTCAGTGAGAAGTCTGCTGCTTGTGGGCGTTTGTTGTGTGACATCAAAATATCAGCACGCGAACTACTCCGTTGCCGTAGTTACGACCTAACAGAATTGTCTAATCAGATTTTGAAGCAAAAACGTGTGGAACTGGAGTTTGATGACATTAGAAATATGTACAGGTACGTGGTACTGTCAGAACAGCATGCTCTGCTACACTAAATGGAGTTGTCTGTGCGAGTCATGCCGTCCTATGGGAAGAGCTTGAAGCAGAAACAAAATCATGTAGTGATAGAATAGAATCGTTCTATATGTTACTCTGGGTGTACCTCAATAGTTGTTTTGAGGTTTTTTTTGGTTGTTATTTTTATCGCATTATCGGTGGTTCGAGAAGGGAGCTAACTCCGTTTGCCTAATCGAAAATTTGAGGTGGGCCCACATTTGAAACTTAACGCACTTGTTGTTGAGAATATGTACAACGTAAACAAACCCACATTACGAACTGCTATTTTGTCTATTTAAAATAAGTATTATGACTCATAACTTGATTAGAATGTACAAATGCGATGGCAATACAGCAGAACTCTCTTCTACGAACATCGCCAAACTAGGTCGTGGGGTCATTAATATTCATGAGTTATTCCTTTTATGGAACAAGTTCTCGGAAACGTTTGAGGCTTGTATATATAATGCCTTTTGTGTGTATTTATTTCACATTTAATCCTTTTTTCTGATGACATAAAGCAACCTAAGTGCCTATATCTTCTTGAGGCTTTATAGGACTCTATTTCACAGTTTATTTTCACTACTATGTGAACAAAGAAGATTCTACTGTGCCCCATGGCGGGGGATAGTGATACTGCTGTTATTTTTGTTTATTGTAGCCTGGTTGTGACAGATATATTGAATGAGTGTAAATCACAATCCTTTAATATTTCAGCTCCTCCAAACAGCTGCTGCAGCTCATAGAGCTGTCACTGGTGGACTCCACATACATCCTGAGAATCATGTATGAGCTGAACATCATTCCCCTGGCTCTACAGATCACAACCATCTGTGGCAACGTCATGGTGAGTTAAACTTTCTTTCCCCTGACTCTACAGATCACAACCTTCCCCTGGCTCTACAGATCACAACCATCTGTGGCAACGTCATGGTGAGTTAAACTTTCCTTCCCCTGGCTCGACAGATCACAACCATCTGTGTCAACGTCATGGGGAGTTAAACTTTCCCTCCCCTCGCTCTACAGATCACAACCATCTGTGGCAATGTCATGGTGAGTTAAACTTTCCTTCCCCTGGCTCTACAGATCACAACCATCTGTGGCAATGTCATGGTGAGTTAAACTTTCCTTCCCCTGGCTCTACAGATCACAACCATCTGTGGCAATGTCATGGTGAGTTAAACTTTCCTTCCCCTGGCTCTACAGATCACAACCATCTGTGGCAACGTCATGGTGAGTTAAACTTTCCTTCCCCTGGCTCTACAGATCACAACCATCTGTGGCAACGTCATGGTGAGTTAAACTTTCCTTCCCCTGGCTCTACAGATCACAACCATCTGTGGCAACGTCATGGTGAGTTAAACTCTCCTCTCCTGGCTCTACAGATCACAACCATCTGTGTCAACGTCATGGTGAGTTAAACTTTCCTTCCCCTGGCTCGACAGATCACAACCATCTGTGGCAACGTCATGGTGAGTTATACTTTCCTTCCCCTGACTCTACAGATCACAACCATCTGTGGCAACGTCATGGTGAGTTATACTTTCCTTCCCCTGACTCTACAGATCACAACCATCTGTGTCAACGTCATGGTGAGTTATACTTTCCTTCCCCTGACTCTACAGATCACAACCATCTGTGTCAACGTCATGGTGAGTTAAACTTTCCTTCCCCTGGCTCGACAGATCACAACCATCTGTGTCAACGTCATGGTGAGTTAAACTTTCCTTCCCCTGGCTCGACAGATCACAACCATCTGTGTCAACGTCATGGTGAGTTAAACTTTCCTTCCCCTGGCTCTACAGATCACAACCATCTGTGTCAACGTCATGGTGAGTTAAACTTTCCTTCCCCTGGCTCGACAGATCACAACCTTCCCCTGGCTCGACAGATCACAACCATCTGTGTCAACGTCATGGTGAGTTAAACTTTCCTTCCCCTGGCTCGACAGATCACAACCATCTGTGTCAACGTCATGGTGAGTTAAACTTTCCTTCCCCTGGCTCGACAGATCACAACCATCTGTGTCAACGTCATGGTGAGTTAAACTTTCCTTCCCCTGGCTCGACAGATCACAACCTTCCCCTGGCTCGACAGATCACAACCATCTGTGTCAACGTCATGGTGAGTTAAACTTTCCTTCCCCTGGCTCGACAGATCACAACCATCTGTGGCAACGTCATGGTGAGTTAAACTTTCCTTCCCCTGGCTCTACAGATCACAACCATCTGTGGCAACGTCATGGTGAGTTAAACTTTCCTTCCCCTGACTCTACAGATCACAACCATCTGTGTCAACGTCATGGTGAGTTATACTTTCCTTCCCCTGACTCTACAGATCACAACCATCTGTGGCAACGTCATGGTGAGTTATACTTTCCTTCCCCTGGCTCTACAGATCACAACCATCTGTGGCAACGTCATGGTGAGTTAAACTTTCCTTCCCCTGACTCTACAGATCACAACCATCTGTGGCAACGTCATGGTGAGTTAAACTTTCCTTCCCCTGACTCTACAGATCACAACCATCTGTGGCAACGTCATGGTGTCAAACCAACGCACTCACTCACTCATCCCGCTCTTGAATGAAAATCTATTGATGAGTTTCCTGTTTCCAAAAATATTCGGGGGCACGGGAGGCCCAGTCATCTAAGGCGCCTCGATTCGCTTTGCAGAGTTGCGTCCCTTGGGCACGCCAGAAACCTGTGATTGTGGGTTCGAATCCCGGTTCGCCCCGATTATGTTTCTTGGTTTGTCAGCACCCTTCCCATGCTCATGGGTTTCACCGAAGTTGTAAACGTCAGAGACCTGCATCACATCGGGCTTTCCTCCCACATTAAGCTGACACGCCGTGATATAACTGGAATACTCTTAAAAGCGGCATAAAAACCCAACTCACTCACTCACTCCTAAAATATTCCATGCTGTATTGTTTCTCAGGGATGTCATTAGTGAGAATTGATGTCAATCACTGAATTGTCTGGCCCAGACTCCATTATTTACAGACCGCCGTCATATTGCTGGAACATTGCTGAGTGCGACGTTAAACAACAAACCAACCAACAACCAACATATCAGCGAAGAATGTTTTTATTCCCAACTTCCACTGTGTTCTTTAGAAGGCAATGAGTATGTATCTGTTGTCTCCAGGCACGAACCCTGCTGGGAGGTCGCTCGGAGCGGAACGAGTTCCTGCTGCTGCATGCTTTCCATGACAAGAACTTCATCCCCCCGGACAAGGAGTACAAGAAAAAAGCAGCAGCTGTAAGTACAGGAACTCTGGAATTTATAATTGATGGGAGGATAGTGTCAACTTACACTTACTTCATGTTACAGTTCCTTATCTAGGCCGGTATTCAGCACAAAGTCTGTAGCAAAGTCAAATTCCCATCTGTTGGCTTTTTATTTTTGGGGACTTTTATGCTTTATATTTTGTTTTGTTTTCATGATTTTGTCATGACAAAAACGAGTCCTTTTCTGTTTCCGAAGAGGAGCTTCAAAACAGTTAAATGTATCGTGTTGAAAATTGCTACATAGATCAGTCTAGTGGTGAACTGGTGCCTTTTGATAATTTGGGATTTTGAAAAATACTGAACAGCATTCGTCTTATCTTCCCTAATCTGAATGTATGAAAGGGGAATGAACCAAGAGTGGGGTAGAAGTAGCCAAACTCCGTTTATCATCCAAAACTGGCTCCAACAGGAGATATCGCTTGGATGAGATCAAGTGATATCTACACTGTAGATATCGCTGCAATGAAATTACATCACAATGCTTTGAAGACTCTTGTGACGTCACAATCAAATGACATCACTAATGGCTCTGCTACTGAAGCTGTTTGCAGTACTTTTTACACTTAAGACACTGCTAATTACTGTTTACAAATTGAAAAAGCTGGAGGAATGATGTTGGATGATAAATAAAATCTCTCCCTCCTGTCTTTTGATATCAAATATATCAACACTCGTTGATAAAAGTAGAAAAAAATCCTCGGCAAGCCTTGGAGTTTTTCCACTTTTATCAACTCGTTTTGATATATTTGATATCAAAAGACACTCGGGTGAGATTCTCTATTTATCATCCAAAACTGGCTCCCACAGGAGATATCGCTTGGGTGAGATATCGCTGCAATGAAATTGCATCACAATGCTTTGCAGACCATTATGACGTCATTGGTTACCATGACATCACAATCAAATGACATCACTAATGGCTCTGCTACTGAAGCTGTTTGCAGTACTTTTTACACTGAAGACACTGCTAATTAATGTCTACAAATTGAAAAAGTTGAAAGAATGATGTTGGATGATAAATAAAATCTCACCCTCGTGTCTTTTGATGTCAAATATATCAACACCCGTTGATAAATCCAGTGACGTCACAATAGTCCTCAAAGCATTGTGATGTAATTTCATTGCAGCGATATCTACAGTGTAGATATCGCTTGATCTCATCCAAGCGATATCTCCTGTGGGAGCCAGTTTTGGATGATAATGCTATGCCTTGGAATGTTGTTTTGAAATTAAGTACAAAATATAAAAACAAATGCCTCATGCCTCACAAGAAAATGTAACAATCATTTTATTGTGGCCCAACAGGAGCCTGAAAAAATTCTAGACCAGACAAACCAGTGACTGAAAGACCGACTTGGGTCAAATGTCACTGGCTTTTGTCTAGTTGGTCAGCGTATTTGTCAAGCCTTGTGAAGTGTAAAAGTTCAAGGTTATGTTGTCTACAGACCGAGACTGACGATGTGGAAGGGGAAGACAACTCATCCAAATCTCGGAAAGGGCGGCGGAAACCGGCATATGCTGGTGGCCTGGTCTTGGAACCCAAGAAAGGTAACTGTCTCTGTGGCCATGTAGCCACTGTCAGTGTTGCCAAGGTCTGACAAACCTCACTGTCAGTGTACATTGTCGGAAATAGCTGCCTGCCTGCTGTCCCGTGGCTAGTAACATTTTTGTTTGGATAGGCAAAATTATTTCCTACCTACTTGACTATCTTGTAGGAAATGTCAGCTTTTATTTTTGTAGTCATTTTGACAGTGTTTTTCTTAATTAAAAAAACATCTGTTTTACTGCAACTCGTGAAGGAATCATTGCCTGGGGATCAGCTTCCGTGTTGACGAACTTTCAAAGAGTGAATATGATTGGTTATCTCCGGACGCTGACCAATTGCAGCAGTACAGAAAAATAATAACTTGCTACTCTAGGATATATTCAAACAATATGGCTGGTGACTTTCAAGACTTGTTGGGAGTCCAGTGTTAATGTATAGTTGGACTATCACCATGCCTAGTTGCCAGAAGGAGGCCTGGGGTCCAGCATCCTTGTATTACAGTGCCATGGCACTGGTTAAATAGTTATACTTGTTTGCAACAATGTTTGTTATATGAAGCCTGATCCGGGGTAAAATAGGTCTTCAGCAACCCATGCTTGCTGTAAAAGGCGATGATGTTTGTCGTAAGAGGCGACGAACGGGTCGTCAGGCTCGCTGATTTGGTTGATCCATGTCATCGTATCCCAATTGCATAGATTGATGCTCATGATGTCAATTACTGGATTGTCTGGTCCAGACTCGATTAATTACACACTGCCGTCACATAGCTGGAATATTGCTGAGCGTTAAACAAACAAACATCATCATCATCATCATCATCATCATCATCATCATCATCATCATCATCATCATGTTATATGAAGCCAGAGATGAATGTGTACATCCAGAAACTAAACTGGACACACTCATGGAACATCGGAATGCACTCAGTCATCTTTCTAAATTCTTGCTAATCCGCAAGCCTGACACGACTACATTTTCCCGAGGACAAGTAAACCTCTATTGATGGTAGTCCTCATTAACTAGTCGCATTTGAGGGTAACACTTCAGAACCTCTTCCCAAGCTCCCATTTTGTTACAAATTGGTACTGATTAAAACCGACAGAAAGTCTGAACATTTTTGTTTGTTCAAGCAGTTCTAGCTACAAACTCTGAGGACTAGTCAAATAAACTTTCCAACAGTCCTGTGGTCTTAACAAATGATTTTCTAATGCTGTTAATGCACAGCATGCTTCACAAGATAATCCTTGAGATTTAGAAATTAAAAGAGTATCGTCAATCTCGATGACAGGTTGACATGAATAGTGGTTATATAGTGGATGAACGGATAAGGACATTATCCACAATGTTACTGTTTCACTTATGAGTTGGTCCAAATGTTTTTTTTTAGTTATTTTTTGTTTGTATGGCTGTGGATTTATCTGTTGCATCCTGAAATATAATTGCCGTAAAAGGCGACTATTCTTGTCGTAAAAGGCGACTATCGGGATCGGGTGGTCAGACTCGCTGACTTGGTTGATGCATGTCATCGATCCCAATTGCGTGGATTGATGCTCATTATATTAATCACTGGATTGTCTGGTCCAGACTTGATTATTTACAGACCGCAGTCATATAGCTGGAATATTGCTGAGTGTGGCGCTAAACAACCAACCAACCACCCTGAAATATAAAATTACTAAGTGTGATGTGATGATGTGTTTCAGGGTTCTATGACAAGTTCATCCTGCTGCTGGACTTCAACAGTCTGTACCCCTCCATCATCCAGGAGTACAACATCTGCTTCACCACCATCACCAGGACCCCCGTCGTCAAGAAGGAACACACGGTCAGTTTGTGTTTCTAGGTTTGTCAGCACCATACCCGTGCTCGTGGGTTTCACCGAAGTCGTAAACATCTAAGACCTGCATCACTTCGGGCTTTCCTCCCACATTAAGCTGGCACGCTGTGATATAACTGGAATACTGTTAAAAGCTGCGTTAAACCCAACTCACTCACTCACTCACAGTCAGTATGTGGTCAGCGTTCTGCGGAGCAGGTGGCCCTGAAAGTTAGGGCTGTGTTCTGGCAAAAAATTGTGCTGCATTGTGATACCGTATTCGACGTAATAAGCGCCCTGCTCTAATAAGCGCCCACGGCGGTATTTGCTAATATATTGGCTAGTGAACAATCCCAATTAGCACCCCTTCCAATTGATCAATGTTCACAAGACTTATAAATTCGCGTACAATACGCACTCGTGTGTTATATGCACCCCTAATTATTCAATTTCAGAAAAATATATCTGGCGTACAGAAACATTTCAGGCTGTCAGCATAAACCACGAAATGTATCTTTCAACTCTGTTTTTTTTTTTTACCAATAATATTCTAATAAGAGCCCCCTATTTCTAATTTTGAGAGCGCCCTGGGCGCTTATTACGTCGATTACGGTATGTATTATGATATATTGGGAGCTAAAGTGTTGGACACTGATTGCACATACAGATCCTATTTTCTACATACTAAAGTAAATATTACTCAGCATGGGGGGCGGTCGGGTAGCCTAGTGGTTAAAGCGTTTGCTCGTCACGCCGAAGACCCGGGTTTGATTCCCGACATGGGTACAATGTGTGAGCCCATTTCTGGCTTACCCCGCCATGATATTGCTGGAATATTGCTAAAAGCGGCGTAAAACTCACTTACTCACTACTCAGCATGGTCAGTCACAGCCATTTTGTTGTCATGGATACAGGGGAGATAACAATGTGAGAGAGAAATCACTTTTGTGTTTCCACCATCTTGTCAATGAAACAAAGGGAAACATTATTTATGAATTAGTTTCTGTATAGATGTTAGGTTAAACATTAGAAATTATGAAAATATGTTATGCATTTTATACCCAGTATACCAGAATACAGACAAAATATTGCAATATGTATCATTTGAAAAGTGCATTGCAGTATACCGTATACCTACTCTGCATAGACCACTACCCCACTGGGGTGTTGTTTTTTTAACAGATCCCTTGAAACTTGTCTATTGTTTGTTTAAGATGTAATCTCTTATTTTTACCTTGCTTTTACCTAACTTGTTCTCATTGCTCGATGGCTGAAACATATTAACCAGGGATGTCAAATTAGTATGCCTGACTTGCCCAACATGTGAAAATAAAGTACCGACAAGTGGGCAAGATGATTTAGTTGTCCTCGCTTAGTCTGAAAATCGGCAGTATAACTTTGAAACTTAGAAGATGCAATACGTGTTTGTCAACTGCAGATGGAATACCTTACTAGTCATTTTTCTATTCTGCACAGCTCCCATTAGCTGTTGCTTCAGTTATAAAGTTTTATTTATAACAAATCTTATATTTGGGATAACACTTTCTCAATAAAGTACAGATTCTCGTATTGTTTTGGGTTGAGTCCCGTCTGGGATTAGAACCCTTACTGCCAGAGTGAGGCATCTAATAGCCAACACTCAAAGTCTAACTCACACAGTCACCAAGGCTTCCTATAAAATGAAACAACTGGTAGTCCAGATCACGTACTTTGTGAACCCCTCTGACAAGTGTAAATTGGCACGGCTCCCATGGCTGAAAGCTATGATCACACAATGTCATTAGCTTTCGGCCATGGGAGCTGTGCCAATCTTCTTTTCTCTGACTTAGCAGGACAAGTTGTAAATAAGGCTAGGGAAGTAGTAAGTTTTGGTATCTGCCCCCACCCCCTGTAATAACACTCACATCTGCTGCTGTTTCTGCCAGGAAGAAGATGAGGAAGAAGCACTGCCAGACCTCCCTGACCCTGACCTTGAACCTGGCATCCTGCCAACAGAGATCCGGAAGTTGGTGGAGAGCAGACGTCAAGTGAAGCAGCTGATGAAGACGCCTGATCTTGCTCCGGAACAGTACATGCAGGTAGGTACCTACTGAGTACACCCCAGTCAGTCAGATTTGTTTCATTTTGGGAGTTCCATGTCTTCTTTCAACTAACGTCCTTTGAGCATGCGCAGTCTGTATTGAAATTGTTTCATTTCTCTGGCACCCCTATTTTGTAGCTTGGGACCTCCATTATTTAAGCTGGAACCCCTAAAATTAAGGGCTTCGAGTCCCCTGGACCCCCATCATATATCCCCCAAGGAGACCGCCTCCGTGGTCTAGTGGTAGAGCATCCGCCCGGAGAGCGGAAGGGCTGGGTTTCGATCCCCGGCCGCGTCATACCAAAAGATGTTAAAAGATGGTACTTGTTGTTACCCTGTCTGGCGCTCGACATTAAGGGGCTAAAACAAGGACTGGTCGGCTCGGAGTCAGTATACCGTGTCTGAGTGGGGTATTCATGTTAAACTGCGGCATGGTATCTCAGTGGGCTAGCGCACACATGCACGCAAGCACGTGCGCAGATTCACTCGCATATTCAATGAATCGAATTCATTATTCGTGGTCACTAGAATCGAATATTTACTCAAAAAAAATTAAAAAAATTTTTTTTTACTTGAAGTTGTCAAAGCAAGATATGCAAAATGGAATATGTACAAGCCACGCAGTAGTCTGTTGTGTGGGTCATCTACGACTCCACCCTGGTTAAACGACTGATTGTCCATAACACTCATCAATTATTTGGACCCCATAGGTAGTGTTGTAGCGAGTGATCGCTGTAGTTTTCATTGAATATTATAAATAATACATCAACTGCTGACTTGTTGTATTCGTAAATAAATATTTGTATTCAATACCCGATATTTGTGATACGTATCGTATTTACGTCATTGTGTATTCGTTGCAGCCCTATCCAATACGATACCTCTCTTTATGACAGCCCCATAAGAGGTCGCGTCAACTTTTTAGCCAGCCAATCAGGCTCGAGAATTCTAAATTCTCGGCATATATATTTATGTTGGGCGTTCAAAGTTTGTCCTGACTATTGAGCTTTGTTTTGTTTCAGTACGACATCCGCCAGAAGGCCCTGAAGCTGACGGCCAACAGCATGTACGGCTGTCTCGGTTTTACGTTTTCCCGGTTCTACGCCAAACCTCTGGCCGCCCTCATCACAGGCAAGGGCAGAGAGGTAAGTCTGTGATGGTTCTCCCGCTTCCCTATGTGGATGCTTGGTTAGAAGAGGTCCTCCTCAGTTCCAATGCTTGTCATAACTAAATGACAGGGGGCCACAGGCATCAATGGCAGATTCAGACGGGCTGGAGGGGAGGTGTCATTGTCAACATATGTCAGAGTGTTTGCCACCCTCACACCACCACCCTCACACCACCACCCTCACACCACCACCCTCACACCACCAGTCAGACAACACCACCCCCAACCACACCAACAGTCAGACAACACCACCCCCAACCACACCAACACCCTCACACCACCACACCAACACCCCCAGACCCTCACACCACCACCCTCACACCCCCAGACCCTGACAGCCCACAGACCCTGACTCACACCCCCAAACCCTGACAACACCACCCTAACACGATCAGACCCTGACACCACCACCCTGACACCCCCATACCCTGACACCACCAGACCCTGACAACATCACCCTCACACCCCCAGACCCTGACACCACCACCCTGACATCCCCAGACCCTGACACCCCCAGACCCTGACACCCCCAGACCCTGACAACACCACCCTCTCACCCCAAGACCCTAACAACACCACCCTCACACCCCCAGACCCTGACACCCCCAGACCCTGACAACACCACCCTCACACCACCAGACCCTCACACCACCACCCTCACACCCCCAGACCCTGAGACCACCAGACCCTGAAAACACCACCCTCTCACCCCCAGACCCTGACAACACTACCCTCACACCACCAGACCCTGACACCCCACAGACCCTGACAACACCACCCTCTCACCCCCAGACCCTGACAACACCACCCTCACACCACCAGACCCTGACACCCCACAGACCCTGACAACACCACCCTCTCACCCCCAGACCCTGACAACACCACCCTCACACCATAAGATCCTGACACCACCACCCTCACACCCCCAGACCCTGACAACACTACCCTCACACCCCCAGACCCTGACACCCGCAGACCCTGACAACACCACCCTCACACCCCCAGACCCTGAGTCGTATGTGACGTTGCCCATAAAATCAACCACTGGTGTCTGGGCCAGACTCCAAAATTCACAGGCAACCATCATACCGCTGGAATGTTGCCGACTGTCATTAAACAACAACCTGATTTTGTTGGGAATAACTAATTGAAGTCAGATAGTTATGAATACCCTATGCCTTTTTGAAAGTGGTCACATGTAACTATTGTTATTCAACACTTTGTTACATTTGACCACTTTCTAAAAGGTGGGTCATGGGTGGCCCAGTCGTCTAAGGCGCCGCAATTCGCTGCGCAGAGTTGCATCCCTTGGGCACGCCAGAAACCTATGATTGTGGGTTCGAATCCCGGTTCACCCCGATTATGTTTCCAGGTTTGTCAGCACTATACCCATGCTCCTGGGTTTCACTGAAGTGGTAAACGTCCGAGACCTGCTTGTCAGGGGCGTCCACAAAGTATATGATCAAAACTACCAGTTGTCGGACTTTCATTCTTCAGGAATCCTCGGTGACTGACTTTGTTTGCTGGCGATTTGGTGCTTCACTCTGAGAGTGTGGGTTTGAATCCCAGATGGGACTTTACCAAAAATAGTAAAAGAATTTGCAGATTAATAAGAAAGTGTTATTCCAAGTATAACAATTGTTACAAGTCAGATAGTTTTTCCCTTTTTAGGAATGTTCCGGATAATGGCACCAAAATGTGCCTCGGACTGATAACTCCAAGGGCTGTCAGTCACTGTGTCTGGTAAAAGTACAGTATCCCTTTTGACTTGTAGGCATTTTCTAACTCCAACAGTAGACAGACTGTCAGTTAGCCATAATGTGTCACAACGAAATACAACAGATGAAGTGTCCGCTTTGGTCACTTTGATTTCAAAGGGTTTTTATTGACTTTTACCTCAAAGAACAAAGACAGTGTGATCATCATATTATATTATCCGACCTGGCGATGTGTGACATGATTCAAAAGCTTGGTGACTGGCAAAAGGCAAATGATGCTGTCAAACATATATAATATTTTAATTTGAAGTTTACATGATATACCGCTTTTCCATTGGACGAGAGGTCGGTCACATGACCGCAAAATTGACGTTCATAAGTGTATGAACGACACAATTTGATGTTGATGTTTGATGTTCATACGTTTTTCACGAGACGGTGTTCTTGAAATGACGTAAACACTGAGGGACTACTTCCACATCCCCGGGGAAACACCTGGGAATTCCCTAGCACGAAAACATACATAAGCGTTCTTTCTGATCATTTAGAAACTTTATTCTTGGTCTCAGCGTTTCAGTATACATTGAGAAATGTCAGAGAGCGTGACTGCATGATTGTTCATGAATATCCTCGCTACAGCCCATCCTAATGAACAAACGATAAATGCACATCTAAACTATCGTAGTATCGACTCGATTCGTGCCTAGGCTGACATTGACCGTCTCCAGCAATCCATGAAATTACCTTTGTGTCTGTTTGACGCATCTTTATTCACCTTTCAATGATCGGTCAGTTGATCAATGATGACTAACACATGTAACCGCCACAGGTTCATTAACAACTTCGGAAATCTCTCCCGTCACGTTTATCGTTTCAGCCATTTTGACGTCTTGTACTTGATGTAAATGATTTACAACGCGCTGTCATTATGACTGACTAACTGAGGTAGTTCTTTACAGACCTTTCTCATCTAATGAGGATATGATTTGAACACATGTACTGCGTAAGATGTTTCTGAAGAGCAAGTTTTGCATCCATACGCCCACGTCACCTCTCTTTCTGAGGAGACCCGTGAGGATTCCGGGGTAGAATAGGTCTTCAGCAACCTATGCCTGCCCTAAAAGGCCACTATGCTTGTCGTAAAAGGCGACTAACGGGATCGGGTGGTCAGGCTCGCTGACTTGGTTGATGCATGTCATCGTATCCCAATTGTGTGTAGATCGATGCTCATGATGCTTATCACTGGATTGTCTGGTCCAGACTTGATTATTTACAGACGGCGGTCATATAGCTGGAATATTGCTGAGTGCGGCGTTAAACAACAAACCAACCAACCAACCAACCAACCAACCAACTTTTTGAGGAACTAATTTACTCCGCGATATAGATGGTTGTTGTTTAGGGCTTCAACGAGTACTCAATACTCGGGGCCGGGTCGGCTTTAGTGGGACTCGAGTCCGTTATCAAGGACTCGACAAGGGGAGATCACTCTGTTTTGCTTGTTTCACGTTACGGTTGCACGCCATTTGCACTGGCAATGGAGAGGGATAAAAAATCAAACCTGTGGGTACATTTTGATTTAGACGGTGTTAAAAAGAAAACTAAATGCCGTTTGTGTGGCCTTATCCTTAGTTACACTGGCAGCACAACTAGCACAATGAGAATACATCTGACAAGCAAACATCCCAGCGCTGAAGCTGATCTCAATGTACAGTTCGAAAGCAAGCCACCCTAGGTACTGGTATATTTGGCAATTATGGCATAAAAAAGCCTGTTGATCGAGTGTGGTATGAAAGAGTAACACGAAAGGCTATGCTTATGTGTGTCCGAGATCTACGACCACTGAATATTGTCCAAGGTGAAGGCTTCTGAGATTTCTGTGAAGAATTAAATCCGAACTATCAAGTACCGTGCTCCACCACGATTCACAACTACCTGATTAAGACCTTTGACGATACAGAATCAGAACTAAAAATCAAATTACAGTCAATCCCATATGTGGACAAGTGTTGCTACCGAGGGATATATCACTGTAACCGCGCATTTTCTCAACAACTGGTCACCGGAATCTTGTGTACTTGCTACACCCCAAGTTGAAGAATGTCATACAGGGGAAAACGTCCTATTTTCGGGTACTCGAGTACGAGTCGGGTTTCACCCCTCGGGTACTCGAGTCCAAAAATTTGGACTCGTGGAAGCCCTATTGTTGTATGGCTGTTAGTGAAACTTGAAGTTGCATGTACTAAATAAAATTGTGTTTAGATCTTTGCCTACATCCTTTGAGGTAAGAAATTGTGATAAAAAATTATAAGAATTGACTTTCACTTTGTGTGAGTTCATTGGAGTATGAACCTTCATAGAGTGAGGGCCAAACATTGTATGAACGTCACCCCATTCTTTCATTTTGCACTAGTTAATATGTCATGTCATGCCAAAGAATCAGGTGTTCTTTAACTTCTTTTGAGTCGTATATTTTGGGAGAAACAGCACACTATTTGATGAGAATGTCAAAAACCTGAAGTTTGTGGTGAATCTGAGAGTGCCTGACACTGCCTGGTAGTGGCCGGGCCGATGGATGTGGGTGAAAGTGTCAGTCTCATCTGTCAAAAACAGGTTTGAATTAGAAACTGGCCGGTTAAACATAAAATTAAAATCAGTTAGGAGACTTTGATTTGTGTAACCTCTCATTTTCAATTTATGGACACGCACGCATGCACGTCGCTATACAGGTGCAGTAATCTTGAACGCAAGGTATGTTAGTGTTATAGCAGGGTAACCATGGTAACAGGGTTTTTCCAGAATCCGAATAGTGCATCATATACTCATAACCATAAAGAATGGACCTGTGAATTATATTGGTCCCTTCTCAAAGTGTATGTGTAAAGGATGCACTATTTTGCGTCAAGTAAAACCCTGTTGGATATGCATTTCAAGTCGTATGGGACACAATAAAGTATGACTGTTGGGATTGGTCCTGTGAGCCTGGCACCTGAGAGATTCTTGGGCGTCAGTCCTGCCCTGCCCACAATGAAGTACCTGTTACATGTGGTGTCTCCTTGGTCCTGTGAGCCTTGCTCCTGAGAGATTCCTGGGCGTCAGTCCTGCCCCACAATGAAGTACCTGTTACATGTGGTGTCTCCTTGGTCCTGTGAGCCTTGCTCCTGAGAGATTCCTGGGCGTCAGTCCTGCCCTGCCCACAATGAAGTACCTGTTACATGTGGTGTCTCCTTGGTCCTGTGAGCCTTGCTCCTGAGAGATT